TCATGTTTATATCTCGCACATTTAGTACACATAATAGTGTAACAAAGTGGAACAATTACGATTTTGATATGTAAGTTCCTTGCTTGGCTAAAAGCTAAAACAGGATTATTAAAATATTTTATGAAAGGAAAAACACTTTGCGTTGGCAAGATAATATGGTTATAAACTATGCACCAACTTTACAGCACTAATCTATATTTCGCTATTTTCATTTAAATTTTTAACATTCTTAATAGAGGTCAGGAAAGTCACTTTATAAAAGTGAGCCTTAAGTATGATAATACCGCAACGACACATTTTATAAATAGTTTTTTGCACTCATGACCTTTTTTGATGAGTTTCGCGCACTCACTAGGGTGCGGGAGATCGAATTTCCCGCACGCGTGCTTTTTATTTTCCATTGCATGGTAACCTTAAGTAGCCTGTTGTGACGCTGTCTACTTCTCTGTTTAAAAATAATCAGAATCACCATTAATCTTTTAATTTTGAAATTTTATTCTTTGCAAATAGCTATTTTTGCTACAAGTTGCGAAATGGTTTGTCCAACGAGCCCGTAGAGCGAGTTTAGACCACACGTCATGGGCGTAAGACCCATTTCGCACATGTAACAAACAAGATTTTTTCTATAATCACAGCAAAATTTAAAAATAAACGTTTCAAGTGACACTTCTGACAATTAATTTAAAATTGACACTTGACTTGACAATATTTAGATTTTTATTAATACAGCTTCAAGTAAGCGACTAGTTAGTAAGAAATGAAACATGTTGGTGGTCTAGTAAGAAATTGTTTGTCAATAAAAAAAATTGTGCCTAAGTATTTTAGTGTTAATGCAGTTTAATGTATTATTCGATCAAAGAAGTAAGAAAACATCAGCATGAGTGATTCCGAAATCCCGTCCGACGTCGAACAAGCAGCTGAAACCGCCCTAACAACATTAATTCCTGAAAAGTCAAAACAAGTATACGAAGCAACATACTTATTGTAGGTTGCTTCGTGTTCTTGCTTAACAAATGGTGTGATCGGAAAAAAGTGCACTGCATTTCAAAAAAAGTGATTCTGGCATATTTTCCCGAAATATCTTTAACTCTAAAAGTGCCAACTTTATGGACTAACTACTCAGTGCTTTGAACTACAATTTACGTGAATAAAGATATCAACATTAGTAAATATATAAACGTGATCACATTTTTGAAAAGAAAAACTGAGGGTTACCGGGCTCAAAAATCAAGAATATTTTCCAAAGAAGACATAGAAACATTTATTAAAGAAGCGGATGACACAAGTTATTTATTGATGAAGGTAAAACGATTATTTGCAATTTTAACAAATTATTTATTTTATTAATATTTAAGGTTGCATTAATTTTTGGCATATCCAGCGCTTTCAGAAGAGAGGAACTTACATTGTTGAGCACAAAAAAAGTTGAAGATGTGTGGACTTTTATAAAAATTAACATTTCCAACACAAAAACAAAAATTTCAAGACTGTTTACATTCACTGAGGGAAATATTAATGGAATACATTTTTTTTTTTAATTTTTCGCAAAAATGCTAACCTACGTTGAGCATCAAGGTTTTTTTCTTAATTACAAAAATGGAAAATGTAATATACAACCAGTTGGTATAAACACCATAGGAGCAATACCTAAAAAATTGCAAGTTTTCTGCGCCTTTCTAAACCCAGTGAATATATCGGCCACTGTTTTCGTCGATGTTCAGCTTCTCTGTTGGCAGATGCTGGGGCCAATATGTCAATGTTAAAAACACATGGGGGTTGGCGTTCTTCTTCAGTTGCCGAAGGATATGTTGAGAATTCTTTGGAAAACAAAAATGTTATTGCAAGGAAAATTCTAGGTGACAAAGGAGTTGTTTCCAAAAAAGCAAAAATTTCTGAAAACGAACCCATGAATTCCTGAGATGCATTAGCGTCATTTGCAATAGATATTCACAAGGCATCCTCCTCATCTTCGTCAACAAATACTATTGAACTAATGAAACTATAAAAATTATGACTATATCTCACGATTGAAATTTTGAAACATGTTACCAGAGAAATCGAAGAACATAGTGGAACTCCAACTTCACGTCAAAAACAACTTGTTTTTGATATTTTTCACTTTCTATGTTTAGTTTATTTTTTATGCATTCCATGCATTAGTCATAACCCTAACACTACTCGTAGTGAAATACCAAGTCGACTTTTTGAATAATGATATACAGCGAGACTGAAAACATAATAGTCAAAATGACCATGTACGAAAAACTGCGTGTCTTAAATTAACATAATCATTTATTAATTGTCAAATTGGCACGAGAACTTTTCAATAACGTTATCTAATGAAATTAAAATTTTTATTCTAGTATCCTGTTTTAGAAATGGAAGTAAACTGGAGAACGGTGGGTGACGATATTCGTTCAACACTTGTTTTCAAGAATTTCGGGAGTATTATCCCGTAGAAGCAGTTAGTCATTCTTATGACGATGTTTATCGGGTTGTAGAAAAAATGGAATCATTTAGAAAGAGTAGAATTTTTAAAAGAAGAGCCAGTAGTGGAACACCCCAAAAAAGGATAGTTGAAGCGTTAGAAAATGTATGAGACATTAAAACAATATGGAAGCAGCTCCGTCCACATCAGATCGAAGGCTTAGCCAATTCAATCTATGGTATGGAACGACACAATTAATTTCAAAAGAAGAACTTGGACATGTTTTCAAAATTTGTCGGTTTGTCCCTTTCAGAAATTCAATTTTCACATCATCTTAAATGTCGTTCATATATTATTATGTCACTTGAAATATGCAGCGAGTCGCCACAAACACACATCCACAAAAATTTGCCATGCTTGTTATGTCTATTAAAATATCTATGAAAGTCTCTTGTTTTGTGATGAACATTTTTTTTTTTATTAATAAATCGGGGGTGACTCCCTTAAATTTTCCACTAAAATTTTGCCGTCGTAAGACAGCGCTCAATTTTTTATTAAAAGTTCAACTGAATTCATTATTTTTATTTAAAATCAAACAATTTCACTGGCGCAGAAGGAAAATGAAATCCCGTAACTGAGTTCCTGGTAGTGGTCACTGTTCGAACAGGATCCAATTCCAGCTGAATGCAGCGACTTGACGCATGGTTTCCATGGCAACGGTGTAAACAAAACGTTTTCCGACAATATGGAAATCAGCTGATTCATGTGTGGAATTCGGAAGTCTAGAATTTGTCATAGTGTAGTTACGCTTGACTCCGTCCGCATAGGCGGTTCGAATAATGGAGTTCGGGCCCTGATATCCAGAGAGTTTCAAATTATACAATAAATTTGAAAGCAATCAATTATGTACTTGTTCAAAGAGATTTACACTGGTCATTGTACTTTTTTAAAACACAAATTTAAAGTTTTTATTGTCTTTTTTTTGTACCGACGCCATTACAGAAAATGTATGTTTCTCTGTTTTAAACAATCTCTTAGTTTTAATTTTTTTAAGGTTGACTGCAAAAATTGGTACCGTATGATGCAAAACTTTTCAGATAATGGGAGGGTGTAATGAGCGCACGTAGGGGATAATATAACGAGTGATCAAAAAGTTTTTAGATTAGCGTTGGCCATGAAAATATTTGTCATGTCTTTGATTACAATGCAAATGTCAAAAATCCAAATTATTGAAATACAAATGAGGTTATGCCTGACATTTACAGTTTAATCAGACATGACAAATATTTCCATGAAAATGTGATGAAACTCTAATCTGAAAACTTTTTGGTCACTCGTTACAAAGAGAACTAATGACTTGGAAAGAAATAGGACAAGCTTACGTACGTTCATCACAGTCTCCCCCGTTACTTGAAAAGTTTAGATCATACTGTATAAAGTTCTTGAAGTACAGCTTCTTCGAAAAATTATGAAATTTAATTTTGCTAATTTTATTTTTCTAATGTATTTTAATTTGGATAGGGGCAATATAATATTAGTAATAACATTTTTGTACAAATTTTCGGAAAAATGGGGTGAGCCGTTCTTGATTTGATCAATAAAGTAAGTTGTCAAATTAATTAATTTTTTCAATGATTCTAAAAAATATGAGTACACTGAAAACGACAAGTACAGACTCAATATACTTTGCATATTTTAGGTACGATTTATTCAGCTTTGAGATGCCGTCATCAAATTGTACATGATATTTCTAAAATGTACACAAAATTTTTGAACAATCAGTGCATCAGTTAGGGACATGATCTGTCTAGTAAAATCGTCAGCAAACAACAGACAGATGGAAACGGGAGACCTATTTTTTCATACTCCAGGGATCACAGAATGTTGAAAAACATGATATTGGCCATTCTCTGGATCGGCTCTATTACAACGCTTCCCTAGCTTTGCTGACGCCTGGAAAGTAAGAATCATACTTTTGTATATTGTATGGTACCTACGATGAAATTTGAAAACAAACATCATATACGAAAATTCCAAAAAAAAGACGCAATAGATACCGGCTTCGTTCCCCTATCGCATCGGATCTAATAGGTTCCAAACTGGATCAACAAGTGTTTTTTGTATTAGCACACAGCCAAACAGCAGTTTTGTAAGTGGTCTCGTGTATTATCCGTTACGAAACATTCAAATGGGATGTTTTCAGAATGTTGCAGGTTTCGATTCTGGACGATTACCGGCGAGATAAAACGAAACGACGTTGATTTGCTAGCACCTTTCTCATAGGCAACACGTAAAATAAAGGCAATTTACTGGCTTTCGACCGATTGCGTGCACTTATCGAGCCTCGTAAATCACAAATTATACGAAAGCATAAAAACTATTTTAATGTCCATGCACGAACCCTAATGCAAATCTCATATCAGCACAAAGCAGCCTTGATTTGTCATTGTCAAAGGGCATTTTTTCCGGCCAATCTATTGTCCTCTGTTAAAAATCAATAAACCGTAAACTATTACAGAGCTTCCTGTGCTAAGCCCTAACCTTGTTATAATAATAATAACAACACAAATGATTTGTTTTGTATCAGCGCTTTATTTGCAACCACAATTATCACATTAATTTGCAACTATATTAAGCCAGAAATTGCAGCTATGATGGGTTGGAAATGTTGGAATGCTCTTAAACTTAGTCTACTTCTTCTATGGTAGGGCCATCGTTAGCAGCGCCACCACCTCCTCCTCTATGTAATTTAGTCATTATTGGCCCGCAGACTTTGCTCAAATTCTTCATTTTATGATCAAATTCTTCTTTGTCAGCCATTTGATTGCTATCTAACCATTTAATACAAGCGTTGCATTCCTTCAAAGCTTTTTTCTTGTCATCCGCACTTAGTTTGTTGCCTGTCTCTTCAATTGCTTGTTTGACGTTATAAACATAACTTTCTAAAGTATTCTTGCTAGCGATTCTTTCCCTCTGGCGACCATCTTCCTCTTTATATTGTTCTGCATCTGCTAACATTTTTTCAATTTCCCTCTGCGACAATCTACCTTTGTCGTTCTTTATAGTAATATTTTTCGATTTTCCAGTGCTTACTTCTTTTGCTGACACATTTAAAATACCGTTTGCGTCCAAGTCAAAAGTGACATCGATTTTCGGTACTCCTCGTGGTGCTGGTGGAATTCCAGATAGATCAAAAGTACCTGAAAGTATCAAATATTAATATCTTGTACGTACAGCAAACTTGAATGATAAAATTTATCTTTGGCAAAAATTTTTCCGTGCTTACCTAGCAAATTATTGTCCTTTGTCATAGCCCTCTCTCCTTCAAACACCTGAATGCTAACAGCTGGTTGATTATCTGAGTATGTGGTAAACGTCTGCGTCTGTTTGCAAGGTATTCTTGCATTTCTCTCCACGATCTTCGACATAACACCACCTGCTGTTTCGATACCGAGAGATAAAGGAGTGACGTCGACTAGAAGTACATCTTGTATTTTTGAACTAGTATCCCCACTTAGAATTGCAGCCTGAACGGCAGCTCCATATGCTACCGCCTCATCTGGATTAATACTCAGATTTAAAGCTTTTCCAGAAAAATAATTCTGGAGCAAATTCTGGATTTTGGGAATTCGCGTCGATCCACCAACCAACACTACATCATGGATGGAACTTTTGTCCATTTTGGCATCCTTCAACGCCTTTTCGACCGGTTCCAAAGTACCTCTAAACAAGTCTGAGTTTAACTCCTCAAACCTAGCTCTAGAGATCTTCGTGTAAAAATCTATTCCTTCAAAAAGTGCATCAATTTCGAGGGTTGCTTCTGTACTGGAGCTTAGAGTGCGCTTAGCTCTTTCTGCTGCGGTTCTAAGACGGCGCAAAGCCCGTGGATTTTTAGTTATATCTTTTTTATATTTTCTTTTGAATTCTTCTGCGAAGTGATTCACGAGACGATTGTCAAAATCTTCGCCTCCCAAGTGTGTATCGCCAGCTGTTGCTTTGACTTCAAAAAGTGAACCTTCATCTATTGTCAAAACCGAAACGTCGAAAGTTCCTCCACCCAAATCGAAAATAAGGACGTTGCGCTCACCTCGCAGGTTCTTGTCTAAACCGTAGGCCAGGGCGGCAGCTGTTGGTTCGTTAATTATTCTTAAGACATTGATTCCTGTAAAGGAAACCTTGAACTTAGACGGCAAAAATCTATAGCAGTTAATGCACGTTACATGTAATTTACATTTTGTTGTGTGATTTTTGGTCCATTGGATATGGAAATGACCACAGAAAAGGGTCACGAAATACACAGAGGAAAAAGTTTACACGATAGTGATGCATGAGGCCGGAATTGAGGTAAACTAAAATAGTTCTTCATCTAATTTTTTTCTATATTTATTGAGGATTATTATTTTAATTAACTGCAGTCCTAATAATACGGCAGAACAATTTTAGACAACCCTAAGTTTTGGAAAATATTTTTTAAAAAGTAAAATATTTTATGTTGATTAACTGAAAATTTAGTACAATACGATATTACATACATATTACGAAATAGGTTACTTTGTCACTTATTAGAACTAAGTTCTTTTTTGCATGTATTTTATAAAAATAATGCAACAGATGTTTAGTTGACGGTATTTATTTTCGCATCAGAATTCTGTATAATTTTTTCTCATAGGTACGCATCGTTTATCTCAAAAGTCATTTGTTTTGTAAATGTGTGGCTCTTTCCAGAAAAATTAAATCTACCACAAATCCAGATAGACCTAAAAACGTTAAATTTACTTTAAATCCATGAAACCGAGTATACTTTTTCAACTGTGAGTGATAATTTTGTTTGTCGTTTTCATCAATGAAAAATTTCTCATATTTTTTTACCGTTAACTTTTACATAATATTTTGAGTGAGTGCTATTCATTTAAATATATTGAAATTTGGATCGTGAACTTGAGATAGAGAAACTTGCTAAACTATACGTTTTAAGAATAAGGATAATAAGGTAAGTTAAACAAATGCTACAAAATATAGATAGAGCAAAAAAGATATAGAGAAAATATATAGTTAAGGGGGGGGGCGTCTATTTTAGTACTTTAGGAAAGTTCATTCTAAAGGTCCGAAAGGTGCTGTCTCCTATTGCTGAGCGACTGAAAATATCGGTAAAGTTCAAAATGTTCTACAGATCTCTATTTCGTACTCTACGGAATAAATTTTGTTAACATTTTGTGTACTGCCCAAGCCGATCGCAGAGCTTGTCTACCCACGACTGCAAGAAAATTCGGCTTACACCTACATCTTATTTATTATCCTCTGAACTTAGGTATTGTCCTTCGATATTAGCGATCCGTTGAAACTTAAACTGTTGAAAATGCGAACACATTTTTATGAATCTCGTGGGTATAATCCTACGTTTATTTTTATTATTATTAAAAGAAAAAATACTACACGTGTGTTTTCATTGATCGGCAACACATAATTTTCGCAATTTCTCTCTATTTCTGTTACTTATTACGTTTTATACAAAACATTCAGATTTTCGTTTCGTTGTTTGTTATTGAGCTCAGTTTATTTATTGGAGATGTGTGAAGGGGCAAGCATTTTTTTCTCTCAATTCCTTAATACCTATGATATTACACTGTGTATAGTTCAGAAGATATTTTAGTGTATGCTATTCAAAGAACGATACAACTCTAGTCTTTGTTTTTTGAGTTAGTATTCAAACTAGAACTAGAGTTAATGAAATATCGAGGGCCTACACTTACTGACAATAATTATTGTTGCTATAATCGATTGTAATTGGCGCGAAATATTAATATGATTGATCATAAATGAATGAATATTCCAATGGTGAACAATTGCACGAAACTGCATTTTAAGTTTAAAGTCTAAAAAAAAAGAGGTCAAGTGAATATAAACTAGTATTTTAAGTTCTTGTAATTAAGGTTATTTCGAATTTCGAAACCACAAAAGAAACTGTACAAAATGTCAGTTATTTGTAAAGCCGAGGTAATTTAAGTGATATCTCATTTTTATATCATAAACATTTTTATCTAATGAGTTAAATTTTTTAACCAATTTTTATTTTATTCACTTGGTTAAAATAATATCAAGCATTAATTTGTTGCAATAATTGAAATGATTATGAACAATGACCCGAATTAAATAGCTTTATATTAATTTAGAAAATTACAAGAACCTTTATTAATAATAGTGCAACAGTTATGACTACAAATTTTTGTGTTTGTCATTTTCATTAATAAAACCGGACGCGGATTACTACGTTCGATCTGAATTTCAACATTGCATCTCTACAATAGAATTCTTTTGTGGCAAGATTTTGTAAAACTGTACCCATTGCAACATCAGGTATAGTTTAGGATATATCGTTGCACCCTATAAAATTTTACTGACAATAACGAGACGGACAGTAGTACAATAGCAAGAGATATTTACAACCTAAAGTTGTCGCGTGGCGGTAATCCCCAGATGTTAGAAAGCAGAATAATCTAGGTCCGGACAGGGACCATCGTTACTCACGAACAATAATGACCATTATTTTATGAGTATAACTACCTGCTAAATGTTCTCCGACAAATTCGGGTGGACTGATGTAAGCCATAAATATTTCTTACCATTGTACTACTGTCGGCCTCATAATTGTCAAAAAAAATTAATAGGGTACAACGATATTTCCTAAACTATATGTGTCTGTTTCTATCTTCGTCTGATACACTGCCCGCATTTTAGGGGTGGAAACGCGTACCTGTGTCGGATGAAGACAGAAACAAAAACATACCGTTTCTGCTATACTGCATGTATAGTTTTTCAGTTATGTAAGGTTATATGGTCCTTCTAAACCTAGAAATGAGGAATAATAATCCATTTATTACGATTGGTCACCTACAAGAATCTACCGCCATAAATCAAGTTTTGTACCAACAGCTTCAGCTATATTGCTTATTTCTATCTATAGCCGTTCTTGCAGAACAGTTGACGTTATTTACATTTTATTTATTTATAAATGTAACGTATAGATTAAAAAAAAAGTAATATGATATATAATACACAGTGCATTCTGATATGCCCAAATAATTGAAGATTGGAAGAGTAACTGTTACAATACGTCCTTAGCTGCTTACGCTTTGGAGGTAAACAGTTTAAATTTTGACACACAGTGGAACATAGTATGATTTTAAAGAAAAAAATAAATGTTACAAATTACCAGCAAAAAAAAAACGTAATTTTATGTAACTCGCTAGGTACATAAACAAGTCAAGGGTTAACTCTACATATCTATAGTATTTTGATAAAAAAAAAACTAATTTCACAACACATTTTGAAAGTTTATTTTGGAAAGTACCTACAAAATTCAGTTGCTCTGAAGTTCTGCGCACACAGTTATTGCGAATATTATAAATCACTAATTACTGATTACAATGCATGTAGTATTACAAATAAGCAATGCCATTTTTTGTGCATAATATACAATTTTTTTTATTAAATATTTATTATACATTTATGCACATTTTCCCTAGTGTCATCTCGGAAAGTGTTGTAATAAGTTCCATTTGACAAATGTTTTCTGTAAAATTCGGTTTACAATTATGGTGTGAACAACAAGATGTTGATGCATTTTTTTCTGTTATTCTCCCCCAAAATTTGATTACGTTATCTACAATGTGAGTAAATGTCGATTTTTTTCTTCTTTTAATCATAAGTATGTCGATTTCGGCCGGTTACACAACATTAATATAATTTCATTCCTTTCATTTCCACCAAAGAATTATTAAATACTTCAAAAAAAGTAAAGTTTTTACAGGAATTATAGAATTTTTACAAAAAATTAAAAATAATTAAACAGATTTATTTGTGCTTCAAGGGCGGAGAATGTTGTGTCTAAATAATTTTAATATTTTTTTATACTACCATTATGTACTTGGTGCCTTTTTTAACGCCGGTGATTTGGATTAATTTACATGCTAAAACTTTTATTGTTATTGCGTTTTCTAGCTGGTATTTTCAAGTGAAATTTGAAACCGGCATTAAAACGGTACAAATGAAACAGTATTGTAACCGAAAATACTGATATCAAAATCTTGTATTAAAAAATGTTTGAATTAACCAACACCCTCTGGTGGACAGTTGCTACGCTAGATAATCCACCTTCATCACCCAAAATCGCCCGAAACTGGTGGTCGGCAACCACCCTTACAGCACAACAATGACATTTTCACAATATAGTTTTAGAACAAGGTTTCTGGGGTTGTTTACCCCAGTTGCGGATTTTTAAGGATTATAAATGGTATCATAAGAAAGCTAAATTACATTACAATATTAGCAACTTTTTTGATTATACATACATGTTATTTGAATCTGTGATGTGCCTATCATAGTCTCTGTCATGGTAGTTATGCGATGTCATGTCAAAATGTGACCGGGTATGAATATAACAGGTGATCAAAAAGTTTTCAAATTAGGGCATTACGGAAATATTTTTCATTTCTTTGATGAACCGGTAAACCTTACAAATGTCAGTGTCAACAAGACGAATATATACATTTTCTTTTCATTTCGGGTGAATTACGAAAGTAGGCTTCTACTATAAAGGCTTTTTGCTCCAAAATATGGATCATTTGGAATTTTGAAAATAAATAAAATAGTAATAAGAAGAAACTTTAACTTCATAAATTTGAATTTTGACGCGTAAGATTTAATCAAAGAAATGAAAAATATTTCCATAGATTATCCAAATCTGCAAATTTTTTAATCCCGATACGCTGAAGAAAGATAAAAATAATTCATTCCGAAGATATTTTTACGCAGCAGATTGTAATAGTAAGTATATTTCTACAGCTACTCAAAAATTGACCAAAGAGGGATGTTGTTTTTGAAAAACGGTAGTATTATGTGCATTTTCAATACGGGCACCAAAAATTGCAGACTTTTATGTAATAATATACCATATGATTCACAAAATTTTTATTTAGTGTAGGTTGTGACCAATACACTTCGAGCACGGTAGACAGAGAGCTATCATAACGCCTTCTTTTAAAATTAATGATAAAAATAGATAAAATTATTCGGTAAATTCATTTCACCCAAAACTACTAGCTTTTGTCAAAAACGTTTGGCCCATTAATAAAAAAACACAATATACCGTCAATTTAAAACTGTTGTTGTCATTTGTTGTTAAGTAATGCTAATGACATCATCGTCACTTTTTAAATAGTAGCACTTAGGTTTTTTAAGCAATGTTCATAAGTTTTGTAGATTATCCCAGTGCGCTATTTTTCAATAATTTATACGCGTACAAGATGTACTAAAATTGTTAAAAAGATGCTACAAGTTTTATGTCCAAGGTTTTCTAATGTAAAGTACAGAAAGTCATTTAGATACTTCCAAGAGCTTTGAAGGCTAGTAACTAAATGAAAACTGATGATGTCATTACTCAAAAGCAAATAACTATAAAATTTTTAAATTAACAGGAAAATGTGTATTTAAAATTAATTTATTCCATATTTCCATCAACTAGAGGGTGTCAAATTTGTTCCCAAACTACTTACAACCGTGTGGTTATCTGGAACATATTGTACAAAGGGCTGCAGTGATCAAAATATGTAAAACTGTATTTAAAATAGTCTTCATAACTAATCTGTCTCGATAAAATCCAATTTTCCATACGTCACTATCTTGAAAAATTTATCTTTGGATAAGTACCAACCTGCGATCATCCCAGCGTCCTTGGTCGCCTGCCGCTGCGAGTCATTGAAGTACGCCGGAACAGTAATGACCGCGTCCTTCACTTCCCGCCCCAAGTACGCATCGGCCGTCTCTTTCATTTTCCTCAAAACCATGCTGCTGATCTCTTCTGGGGCAAACCTCTTATTCTCTCCCTTGAACTCCACTTGTATCTTAGGTTTGCCGCTGTCGTTCACTACCTTGAAGGGCCAGTGCTTCATGTCCTGCTGGATCTTCGAATCGTCGAACTTTCTCCCGATTAGTCTCTTGGCGTCGAAAACGGTGTTGTTGGGATTCATCGCGACCTGGTTTTTAGCGGCGTCGCCGATGAGACGCTCGGTGTCGGTGAAGGCCACATAGCTCGGGGTGGTGCGGTTGCCCTGGTCGTTGGCGATGATCTCCACTTTGCCCTGCTGCCAGACGCCGACGCACGAGTACGTGGTGCCCAAGTCGATCCCCACAGCTGGTGTTTTTCCCATTTTTTTAGCACTTCTTCACCACTGACACTATTGAGATTTTGAATTGTGTCGCGCCTACTTTGTGCTTATATTGCGGAGCGTGATTGCGGTGCGGGAATAGACTACTTCGGCTATTTTCGACGGAATAAAATTGATCTAACAAGACTTTTAAGCCAGCGGCGGAGTAGAGGGGGTGATCATTTTTTTTATTTATCTAGATAATGTCGACTGTTTATTATTTGCACTGTTTATTTTTCTACAAAAAATTTTAACTTCAAAATAATGCTACTTCGTGATTTTTGTCGACAACTTTAAAGATGATCTGCGGATAGAAGTGTTTTTAAGATAACATCTAAATGTCTGAAATAAATATCGCCTTTATTAGTGAACAAAATGTAACATGTAAAATACTAATTGTTCTGCTTATCCAACAGATTTTTAAATAATTGAAATTTTTGCACTGACTGGAGTGACTGGTTAACAAAATATCTACATATATAGTACATTAACGTTATTGTATAAAAATAAAAGTTTCGTGAATTGGTCAAAAGTGTGTTTATGAAATTGATCATACCCTTTTATTATTGAAAGCACTATGTAGTTGATTAGTTAATTTTAATTCATTATTTTCTTTTTTCTATCACAAACAACGCTAACAACCACAGGTTTAGCCTTATCGACTTGATTATTTTTCGAATTCCCTTTAGGAAGTAATGAAGAGACGCCACTGAGTTTGCGTTTTTATTTTAAACAAATCGATTCCTTTTACCATAAGGTGCAATGACGCACGGAAGGTTCTAGAACTCAGTACATCCAATTTAATCTAACTTTTTTTTTTACATGATCTTAATGACGGCTTGACGATAATGACAATTTCGCAATGAAAGTAAATAAGAAAATTTGGAACTAGTGTAGGTTGATTTATTTATAAACTTAACGTAACTGTTTACACCTTTTTTACTCATCGTTTAATTTGGCAAGGTCGTATAACAATATACTATGGTAATCCATAGGTAAAATGCAATGATTTCTGATTCACTCACCCTTTTTATTACAAAGTTGTGTGGGTTGAACTTCTTCGGACGCTTTCGCTTGGGTTTAGCTGACGTAATTTGCTTCTTTTGAGTTTTCGGTTTTATGGTTTTGTCATGCATCTTTGTGATGTCTTTTACACTGTGCGTTAAGAGCGAAGCAGAATAATCATATTGGTCAGGTTTGTTATTCAATCGTTTATTGAGTATACGCCCACTAAAAAAAACGATAGCAAAGAATTGACCCATTATAGTTTTTTATGTGGCTGAAATTACAAACTGTTACGAATTCTTTAACATGGTATGTTTTGCTTATGATTATGATTCTAAATTTTTTCTGATAAAATGTCGCTGTTTGACAATTTTTTTTTAATAAAAAAGCATTAAAATACAGTAGACACTTTTTTGTTGCTTAATTTAACAAAATTAATTTTTTTAAGACGTTTTCATGGATAAGTTTCATAAATAACCTTGTAATATTTTACAGTTCGTGTTATAATAAATTATTATGAGCAGTTTAAAGCCAGTAGCAGTCGAGCGGTGAGGCAATTTAATATACACAACTGCAACAGATATTATCTAAGTTATTCAACTACGGTTTTGATATTCTTTCAAGTGAATAATTGCCGCTTAAAATGCAAGACATACCATTATGCTTATACATTATGTGAGGAGGTATGCAGAGTACAAATATTTAAAGTTTGTAAAAATTTGTAATCAGCGGAAGGGAAATAAAAACAGAGAAAACCAAAGTCTAGACTCTAGAGGATGTAAATTACAATTTTTAAAACACAGTAAACACACGAATAAAGTTCTTCATTTAGAAAATACCAGTTAAAAATGACAACTAGATATTATTAGATTAAACTGCTTAAACTGAAACTTTAGGGTATTGCTCTTTTCTGATGGATAAGAAATTCTAGTTAAGGCGCAACTGTTTTTGCTTTACTTAGAATGCGAAACAAGTGATACATTTAGCCGCGTTCTATTGTGCTCTCTTAGGGGAATATTGCTTATTTGTAATGCAGATTTTCTAAGTTTTTAAAACTAGTTTCCCCATTATTGATCCTTAATTCTGAAACAATGTTTGACATGATCTGTTGTGTTAAACGGGATAAGATTATAAATGTATTGAGAGTTCTAGTATACCTGCTTCACTTCAACTTCTCAGCTATCTAAAATTATTATAACGTCTCAAATTTAGAAATGTTAATTAGCCCAAGGAAATTTATAAAATGAATATGGTACATATTAGCGTCGTAAGTTGTGCAAGTAAACGAATGCGGAACTTGTGAAAATGGTTCTACTAGTGGGCTGGGATGTGTCTTTGGCTTTCGTGATGGTACGGATGGCGATTTCGTGTAGGAATTGCTTCAACTCTGAAGAGTTGGCTTCTCGGAGTAGCTGGATGTTCCTGACGAATCAATAACGGACGTTGAACGTCTGTTGGAGGAATTTTGTCTGGAGGATTTATAAACGATGTAATTGGCTTTTCAACGGCTTGTAGCTCCATGTTACTGAAGCCATAGGTCATGGTGGGTAGAAAGGTTGATGGATATAGTATTAGTTTGTTCCCCATCGTCATTTTGCTGCACCTAGAGCTTTTTGTCAATGGTGACACCTAGATATTTTGCTGAGTCCTGCCAAGGAATCTGATCGAACAACATCACATGCCCTACTGGTTCTAAACACCGAATTAATTAGTAGTTAATACATCACAGTTATCGACAGCTAATGGGCGCTTTGAGGATGGTGCTTTGGGGTTGTCTCGCTTCGGCGGAACACCTCGAAGCTAAAGGCATTTACGCTAAAAAATCTAATTTTCACATGTTGTATGCAAAAATACGGCTATTATGACTCACGAATAATTATTAACAAATTTTCTGAACATTAAATTCTCACAGCTTTAAGGAATTTTAAAAACATCGTAACTTCAGGGCCACACAAAATAATTATCTAACTTTTCGATTAGGTTTGAGGTAGGTACGATTTTTGAATCTGTCTTCTACATCGTGCGTCATAATTTGGGTGCGAAAAAATAATCTGGGTCCCTAAATATCTGAATGGTGATCAAAAACGACTGAATGACAACTTCGAGGTCACTTTGCCACCGTCTTAAAAATAATTTTTTCCATATTTTGGCTCGTGTTGTAACTATGAACGAAACAAGGATTCATCCATTTTAAGTAATTCAGACACAAAAAAATGATCAAAAGAATTAAAATACCGTGCTTCCCTCGAAACAGTTAATTTCAAATTCAAAAATAAACAGCAAAATTTTTGGCTCAATTTTTGGAGCAACGGCGGAATAATAAGTTTGAAATCTTTATTAGAGTAGGTTAAAACTAATAATGGGAAAGTCTCATTTTGCACTGTTAACTTGATTGCTAGAAAAACATGCTCAGAAACAGCATAGAAAAGTTTCCAATATGAGGACAATGGACTCCATTCATGAGTCGTTTACTGCGTGACAGAAATGTTACTGTTCGCTAAATTTAGCTCGTTGGATTATTGTTATCCAATATTTTAAAACTAAAAAAGAATGAAAAAGCCATTAATAGTATATATACTAATAACCAAGGAACTAAAGCGGCTTGTTTTCTCGTAAGTGGAAATTAATGTCCCGAGCGGAACCACTTAAGGGAAAAAACCGCTGTTATTTTTTCCATGTCCTGATTAGCACAATTTTTTCACATCCAGAAAAATTGTATAGCATTATGATTTTTTACGAAAACCAAAACTATTAATAAAAAAGGGGTCGACAATATCCAGCTGTGCATTCAATATCCAGAAAAAAAGCCGAAAAACTATCCTTGGATCTACTGCCAGCGAAATCAAAATTGATTTACGAGAAAATATATGAAGAATTTATTGTTTGGTGTTCCCAGAATTAATTCTATACAATAATTCTTTACAATATGTACTATCACAAGTTTATTGTTAAATAAATAAACAATACTACTAATGTCTAATTTATATACGAAGTTTGGTCAAAAAATTCCAGCTCGTTCTTGGTATTCGGTTTTCAATGTCGATTAGTATATGCCTGACATAAATTTGTACGTTTCCAATATCAAATTTACAACATGAACAAAAGAAAAGTAGACAAGTAATATTTGAGTATACTCGTAGTAGAGATTTCTTACAAAATTAAGAATCAACAGTTGCCACATAATTTGTGTGGTTTTCGTTTAGATTTGTCTAATTCATTCCTTTCTGTATTGTCTTTTATCCACTGCCAATAATAAGAGGTGTTTGTATACACAGTAGGTACTGAAGTGTTGCAATATTTATCACCACCTGATACGATTCCAACTTGAATATCATCTAGAAGTAGAGGTCCTCCAGAATCTCCATGACAAGGGCCGGCTTCTGTTCCAAAGGCACACAGTTTTGAATAATCGTACACGTCTGTATTTTGAAAACAAAAAGTGTTATTAACAACAGTCACCAATTTACCTAGTAATTTATCATTTAGTCCCTGGCCGAGATTAGGTAGACCCCACCCTACTACGTAAGTTCGTCCACGACTAGAAATATGGCGTAACAAAGAAACTGTGTTAACGTGTTCATTTATTGTTAGATTGTCATTTAAATAGATAAGGGCTATGTCGTGGTCATAAGTAAGGTTATTGTAATTTTCATGCACAATAAAATTTTCACTTTCTAAGTAAACTGTAGATTTTTCTTCTTTTTCGATGTTATCTGTGCCAAGTAGTATCCAAACAGAAGATGCTCTGTAACATATTAGTTTTTGAGATATTATCGTATGAAAGTTAAGTAAGTAAATAGTAAATATTTACCCATCTACACAGTGCGCTGCTGTTAGTATGTACTTTCTTTCAATTAAAGTACCACCACAATTGTCAGATCCATTTGTGTGTTGAATATTCAAAAGTGCCATATAGGGGTGCTGCCTGGGTTTGTATGGTTTAGGTGTATAAGATATGACCGCTGTTGTCGATACATTTTTCGTTTTATTCGAAGGTAGTATGAAAAATTTTGAGATTATGTACTGGCGATGAATGAATCCAAACCAAATAACCGATAAAATGATTGCAGTTGATAGTGCTAAAATAACAGAATAAAAGGGTGGATTTCTCCAACCTCAGTTAAAGTTAACGATAGAAACGATTATAATGATAACGATTGTTTTTAAATGTTCGTTAACTTTAACTGTGGTTGCTGAAATCCACCCTTTTAAATATTTTTGCTATAAACATCTACAAATTAAGGCAATATATAAGGGTCCTCATAAATTTTACATATCAAATTATCCAGTATATCAACACAATAGTAAAATTTTAATATATATAATATGTATATGTTATGTATATATATATATGTAAGTATGCTTACTGATTAAAAGCCTTTTGCTGTAATACCACTGACTCGGCAACATTTCGGAAATACACTGATTTTAATCAGTTAATCACTGAGTTATAGTTATGATTCGACGTTATCAGGTCGAGATAAATATCAAAAAATATTAAACGCATGAATCATTCATTCATCACAGGTGCAAGTAAATTTACACGAACCATACGTATTTTATTTGTACTATATATCCGATTCACTTAATTAGCGGGCCCGTAAACTTTAAATTTTATTTGCAAAAATAATACTTAAACTTCAAAAAAATTAAAAATAAAGAGAAATTCCATATAAAAACACAAACTTTGAATAAAAAAGTGTGTCACATGACTTTTGATTTTGATAAAAAAAACTGAGATGATCTTTTTTACGCCCTGAAAGTATTACGTTGAGAAAAAAATCCAAATTTGAAATTTTTAGGAAATATTTAGAACTATGTCAAAAATATTAAGTCCAACTGGAAGTGTTGAAGCAAGTTATCTGCCTTAAAATTGTGTTGCTTTGTACCTACGTTAAATATGCTAAGTGAGTTAGCTAAAAGGAGTCATCTCGAATAACCTTTTTGTTTATAAACATCTATTAACGGAATTTAGTTCATAAATAAAGATGAATGAGTTCTATGCATACGTCACTTCATTAAAATGAAATAATTGATAGAAAGCAAAATCATGTTTTTTTTTTAATTTATCTGATTTTTTTACTATAAACTTGAGAAAAAAAAAACACAGTGCAAAGTTATTTATTACTTTTGATACGCTTTATTTGCGTTCGTAAAGTAACATTTTCGTAAAGCATTTTCTGCGATTTGCTTTCTAAACACATTTTTAGGTAAGTAATGAAGCATCTGTTGTTGAGACTCATGAAATTGTATCATTTATTATCAGTGCGCGGAATATATCTCAGTGCTGCAATCCCCCAGCTGAAGTAAGGTGTGTTTTACGGCGAGTAGCGGGGACGCTTTGATTTGGCCCACAAGGTCGTAGCCAGTGCCAGTAAAAAACTACTTCTATTTTACAATATTACTTCAAATAACAATACTTGGTGTCCTGTTTAAATTTTCAACTACAGGACCACAGATTTTGTGAAGAACAACAACTGTGTAAAATAGTAAATCGTTTGCTTACATTTCTAATTTTAGGGGGACAGATTTTTTAGGTCATCATCATGAATCCACATCTTAACTATTGAACGATTTTGATAAATCTAGGTCTCATCAAGGTATATAAACAGACAGTTTTCCACAGATAGTTGAAGTTGAATGCATTTCCGTAAAAATTTAATTTTCGCGACGATAATGTGTTTCTGTTCACATAAAACTTTTCTTCCGTCAACTTTTTTATATTTACATCCCATGAACTTGATTATTCGATATAAGGTTGGTCTCTCACCCTTCTGTTCCAATTCTTTTTAGCATAATTTAAAAGTGTATCAATCAAAATGTTCGTTCTTTTTTCTTAATATATGAATTTTGGATTGTAGATCTTTTTTAAAACAATGATCAAAAAAAATATCTGATTTTATACGTTTGTGTTTTAGGGAACTTTCCAGATTTTCAGTATTCATTACATGGTAAATTTCAGTCCGTCGAAACCTAATTACAATGAATTCTTTTATCATTAATAGTTTTATTTATTATACAAGTGAGTTAGGTAGGATATAACCCACGAGAGAAAAGTATAGTCATGAGCGACGAAGGAACGAGTGGACTAAATTTCTCGAGTGTGTTAAAGCCCTAACTCGCAAGTTTAATATAACATTTTATCCAACACATGAAATAATCGCCAAAATACTGATAAATAAATTATTTGACACTTTCTGTCAAAGTTGACAAGAATGGACTGCAGTTGAAGTGGGTTGTGGAATGGTCTCTAATTAGTGTGTTTGTTAGTTGCTACATGGTTGCTACTGTAAACGAAAAATTTAGAAATCTGGTGAAATTGTGGAAAATTTGTGCTGTGTTTCGTGAATAATTATAGAAAAAGTTCGGGAAGAAGCCGCTATATTATTTATAGTATTTTCAAAGATTATTCCCGAGAAATCTAAAAGTCTACGACAAGAAATTTAAGGAATTTGTTGCATGGTGCAAAGATAAAAAGGTGGACGTTAACGCGCTAGAAGAGGACATCCTGTTGGCGTATTTCAAGTAATATGCTGCCGAATGTGATGCCACCAACTACTGTAAATATTCCGACAGATTCACAGGACAAATGTCTTACATTTAATTTCCAAGTTAATGTTAATCTTAAATAAGTAAAATGTTGGTTTGTTGTTAAACTTTCTTTTCAATAAATGAATACGTAGTTCATCTTATGGTTTGACATAACAGAGTGAGTTAGAGTTATAACATAACTCACTTGTGGGTTAGAGTAATAATTCACAGAGTGAATTGTAAATCACTTCACTCAATAGAAATCACCATAGTTAAGGCTGTTTTATATGCATCTGTTGGATAAAAAATATAATATTACAAAACAATATTACGGACAAGATATCAGCCACTAAATTTACAATTTCTAATTTCCCCAAATGCTGACCGTTTTTTTTTCTGAAATCTTCGTGACTGCTCGAAATACTTCTTGATTTTTCCTTTATCTACGATCTTTCTCGTCACTTTCTGGAGATAATTTTCCTTCGCAATATCCATCTATTTGTTTTTATTTGCTCTTAAATTTGAACACAAATATTTGACAATTTTTTATGATGACAACTATGTGACAAAAAATTTTTGGGATTTTAAAAATTTCGCGCCAATCATTAAGATTTAGTGATTACAAGAATTGAAGATTGCTGGGTTCTTCTCATCATGTCGGGATCTCTCTTAATTTCAGTAGCAACATTCTGTACTCTGTCGCAAAGTTCCTCAACAGTAGGTATTTACTGGAGTCCGGCATACCAACTGTTTCATATGATCCCATGAAAAGAGGTCATATGAGTTAAGATCGGGTGATAGGGGAGGCGACAGGACTGGTCCATTCAGTCCAATCCATTTTGCAGAAAATTTTTCTTGACTTTCACTTCTGCGGCGTAATGGGCGGGAGCTCCATTATGGAGATTCCACATGTCTCTTCTTATTGCCAGTGGTTCATTATCCATAAGGGTTTCCCATGTGGTATTCACAAAAGCTAAACATCCTTGAGCTGTTAGTCGCATGGGTAACACATAAGGACCTATCATTTCGTTTATTAGAAAATCGCTCTTGAACTGCATGGAGGTTTTCATCACTCCAACTGTAAGTGTTGTGTGAATTAACAACACCATGTCTTGTAAATGTTGCTTCATCTGTTGAGAGCAACTTCTCAACAAATTTCGGTTCTTTTCTGTTTTTTTAGCAGATCCATTCACAAAAGTAAATTCCACGTGGAAAATCTTCAGGTTTCAAATGCCCAACCCGTTGCATGTGATAAGGGTACAAACCTTACTACAATTGATGAAACTCCCACCCGGTAAGGTATTGTCTTCAAGTTCAACGGCATTCAAAATTTCTTCTTCAGCGTCAAGTACATGTTCTGTCCTTTGACGACCACGAGCTCTGGAACGAGGTTCAAATTTGCCGTTTTCTCATAGGTGTTGAACAACGGCGGTAAAGGTTTTTGATGGGGCAGTCTCTGTTTAAGGAAACGTTTCCTGGTACAAACGTTGGGCTTAAACGTTAAATGCTTGTATTTGTCATTGTTCCTAAGCAATAAGTATTTTTCAATTTTATTTTTTTTAAGGTTAGTCGTATGGCTATGGGTAGAGACCCTAGATATACTTTGGAACAACAGACGACGACTATTCTCTTCCACGTCTATGTATAGTGAACCAAGAGCTATAAGGTTATATGGCCATCATAAAATCATCCCATTGTGTCGAAGTTAAGTTGTTTACAATAGAAAAGGTTTTAGGATCGTAAATAACGTGTCCACTGCAGCTCGACCGGCTGTTGTGGTTTCGTTCAGGGGCGGCTTTCACTAAATATGAAAATCCAGCACTCCACTATTTCTTTACTACCTGCAGCCGCTGAGGGTTCCGAAATAACCACTCGCTTTGAAAGCCGGCCCTGTTAAATATGAGCAAGAAATGTTTAGAAGATGATTTATTGCCAACCGGTAAGCTTAGTGCGAACCACACAAAGGGGGTATTTATTTGCGGTCAACTGCTTTTATGATGGCCATATAACCTTATAGCTCTTGGTTCACTATACTAAATGACAATTACAAACTGTCAAAATATGACTCAAAAAAGGCATCCGCAGCCAGCATAGTAAAATAAAATTTGCCATTAATTCTTTATAATGTTATTGTAGATACTGATCCTACAGTATGTGCACTGTGCCCGCACTGTCTATGATCCTAGGTCACTACAAAATGTTATTATTACTGTTTAGCATATACAGATATTAGACATAGGTAATTAAAATATGTATTATTTTCAACACCTTAAATGACTCTGTGAAGTTTATGCTAGTGGTTTTGTAGAACTAATCTGAACGGTCTAAATACTTATACAATCGAAGTGGAATAGGTACTGCATTAGTAATTTTAATTATTGTTAATATATTTACTATTTTTTATATCGTCGTTTCCAAAAAAAATCGGGGAAATTATATTAACATGAAAGTCATAATCCCATAGCTTTTCATTGATCTATGAAAACCTGAGTTGCTCATCTTGTCCGAAATTTTTTGGAAACGACGATATTTCCTTCCATATATACACAAATACTTTAATTCCGTTATTTTACTGTGACACATATTTCATCAAATCATCAACTACTAGCTTTTGCCCGCGGCTTCGCACGCCTTCAATTCGGCGTAAATGACAAAAAATTGTTATTGTGGGTTATCCATAAGAGATAGACATATACCATCGGGGAGTTTTCTGTAGACCTTTTCAAGGTGTACAATACTTAGTACATTATTTTGATAAATCTCGTAGGGTTCAGCCTGCGTTTGCAATGTAAGAGGAAAAAATGTAATTATTTACGACATCACATTAGAAGTCTTACAAACAGAATTGATGGGAATAATGCTGGGAGCTAGAATCATTGCTGAACGTGAAATCGGCAACAAATCAATACGCATACTTACTGACAGCAAGTCTGCACTACTAGCCCTGGACAGCTGTATGGTTCGATCCGGGCTGGTTTGGGAGTGCAGACAAACGCTAAAGTATGTAACGCAGAGGAATAGTGTGGTACTTTGTTGGATCAAAGGACACAGTGGCAACGAAGGAAACGAGAGGGCAGATGAGATGGCGAAGCGAGCCGCGCGTATGCCCTTCTGGGGACCCGAACCGGCAATCACGCCTTCGGTCGCCCTCTCGAACGAACTCGTAAAGCAATATACCCATAGACGCCATGAGCAGATATGGGCGACGTTGAGCAGCTGTCGGCATAGTAGAGCTTGTATGGCGACACCAGACCGTAAGTTGACAAAATTTTATCTCTCACTTTCAAGGGACAAACTGCGTAAACTGGTAGGATTCCTTACGGGACATTACCAGTTTAACAAACATCTACATACGATAGGGGTAGCAACAGACCCAATCTGTCGTGGATGCAATGAAGAAGAGGAAACAGCTGAGCACATTCTTCGTGAGTGTCCAGCCCTAGCCTCCTACAGGGAATCCATACTAGGGGACATCTGGCCTAGTATGGCAAATATCAGGGAGTTTCCACCCTCTGCATTACTCAAGTACATTCAAGCAGTTGGATGGCTTGACGAGTAGAGGAGCGGGAAAACACCCTGATATGGACTTGGGGAAGGTACAATGGGCCCAAAGGCGAGGCCTAAGTGCCGGCTGGCTACGGTCAGCCCCCATAAATTAAGAATCCAGAATCCAGAATCCATCACATTAGAACCCTCAAAAATAACAGTATTTCTCTACTATATAATAATGGATGTTATTATACATATAAACCTTCCTCTTGAATCACTCTATCTATTAAAAAAAAACCGCATCAAAATCCGTTGCGAAGTTTTAAAGATCTAAGCATACATAGGGACAGACAGCGGAAAGCGACTTTGTTTTATATTATGTAGTGATAGTGATTTGGCACAATAAAATAAAACAAAAAAAGATAGTATTAGATCTCAGGCTGTATACTAGACGTAAACATTTAGTGAGTTTATAGCTTCACACCAGTTTAACTCCCATTATAATTCAATAGGCCGTCACAGCTGAATGTCTTAAACCCGCTAACTGATAACCTATCCGAAACGACCTTTTCTGGTAAAAGCACAGTGCCCTTTGTAAAATTTTACCCAAAGTACTTTAAACATCAAAGCCATGCAATAAATGTTTGCGTCTAGTGTAACACCATCTGAGCTTTATTTTGAATATTCCCGCCACTAATATTAGTTCCAATTCGTAACGTAAGGTGCCGCAGGGGGGCGATTTTTAACTTTGTATTTCTAACCTTTAAAGTTGAGTTGCCGCCACAGGTTGCCGCTCTTGTTTACCTGTACTTTTTTATGTTTGATCTTTGATGTATTAACCGTCTCCACCGAACTACCCCACCACACAATAGCTCTTAATTGTAAGTGTACTGTGGTTCTTAATTTCTGAGTTACCTATATTCGTTACTTTGTTACAGTTAAAGTGTGAAAGACAGTTTAAACTACTCAAAGTATATTTTAACCAGTCTTCAAATAACATATAATGTTGTGGGCAGATAAATATCGACCAAAAGAGCTGTCTTCTCTCGATTATCATAAAGACCAAGCACTCAACTTGAAAAATTTAACAAAAGATGGTGACTTTCCACATCTATTGATCTACGGACCTGTGGGAGCTGGCAAAAAAACCCGCATAATGTGCCTTCTTCGTGAACTCTATGGCCCTGGAATTGATCGTGTAAAAGTGGAAACCATGAACTTCACAACACCCTCAAACAAGAAGATAGACATTAGTACTATAAGTAGTAACTACCACATTGAGCTGAGCCCCTCAGATGTAGGTATCAATGATCGAGTTGTTATTATGGATGTTATTAAGAATGTAGCACAAACACAACAACTCAATGCAAACGCTCAAAGAGAATTTAAAGTTATTTTATTAACAGATGTTGATAATTTAACTAAAGATGCCCAGCATGCTTTACGTAGAACCATGGAAAAGTACATAGCAAACTGTCGAATAATTCTTTGCACAACATCCATTTCACGAGTAATTCCCGCTATTCGATCAAGATGTTTATGTATTAGAGTTCCAGCACCATCTACTGAAGAGATTGTCACAATTTTAACCAACGTTTGTACAAAGGAATCACTTACTTTGCCTGAAGAGATTTCACGTGAAGTTGCAACTAAATGCAATCGAAATTTGAGAAGAGCACTACTGATGTGTGAAGCCTGTAAAGTGGAAAAACAACTTGTACTTCCGAAACAACATGTTGTAGAACCTGATTGGCTACTTTTTATTAAAAATATAGCGCAAAAGATGGTGAAGGAACAAAGTTTAACAACATTAGTGAAGTTGAGGGAAAATTTATATGAGCTGATTGTTTTTGGAATCCCTTCAGAAATTATTTTTTGTGCACTTTTAAAGGAGTTGTTAAAAAATTGTGATTTGGACTTGGCTGCATTAATTGTTGAGCAAGCTGCGTTATATGAGCATCGGCTAGCACAGGGAAATAAAGAAATTTTTCATTTAGAGGCATTTGTGGCAAAGTGCATGTGCCTGTACCAAAACATGATGCAAGAACTTCTTGCTTGTGATTTCTAAGATTGTAAGATGTAACATTTATGAATAAATAGAATATTTACATTAGCATTTTATTTATTTTCTGTTCAAAGTACAAAATTACGAGCTACAGCAATTTGTAATTAAATCAATATAAAATACATTTCAGTAGGAAATGTACCTAATTTTTAACATTGAAGTGTTACCTTTTGACGCTATTTCAAACAAGAACATTCTTTCAAAGATTTATTATATGTATTTCACTTTTACAGAAGTATTGTTGGTTGCATATCATTTTATTCTGAGTATCATAATCTCTTCCACATTCAATTTATTATCTTTGACGCTACCTAATGATTCAGCAGTGGTGTCGAAACATTCTGGACAGGGGTCAATTATCCCCAAATTAATTTTACTATTACACGGAAATTTTTCAGCCCTCTTAGGTTTACTAGAGGGCCCAAATTTTTTTCTACATATATTTCAAAAACACTCTGTATCATAAATTATTGTTATATCGTAATGTGCTGTCGATTCAAACACATGCAATCGTTAGCCAACCTTTTGAAATACCAACAATTTTTTTGACTGGCATTTAAACTTTGACAAGCGCACAAGCAAACATTGTTGAAAGATTACTTTTTGAATTTAAAATGGACAATTCTACTAAAAAATAAACTAGAACTCTCCGGTCAAATGGAGATGGCAATAGTCAAATGCCACCGGGATCTAAACATCAAAGTATTTTTTCGGTATAGTAGGTGTGACGGGCTTGGGAGATTTTTTAAAATTAACTTTTGTTAATTTATTAGATATAAAACTAAAACTTTTGTCGTGGACCTTGTGCCCGACATATAGTGAAAATAGTATTTATTTGTTTGTAGGCTGTTCACAATTAAATGGAAACGGTGGACAAAATTAGAACAACGCCACATTAACAATAGGTTTTTATTAAAAAGTTGGCTGACAACTTTCGGTACCCACTGGTATCATTATCGGAGCCTACAGAAAACAAAAAACGTGAAATTTTTATAATCATACATAGAACTTTTGGACCGGTGAGTTGCTGCTAACAACAAATACCAACGAGTAATAACCAGTGACTACCGAATTACCAAAACCTTGCGTATAGTTCAAATGCTTCAAATAAGCGGGTAACTTTGAGTTAGTGCCCTTTATTGAAAAAATTACAAAATTTAATTTTTACTCATCATTACATTCAAGGCATTTTAGATTTAAAAGTATTTGACAATGTTTTAACTTCAAGTTTTCTCCCAATTTTTCTCCTGAAATCCGAAAAAATACCTTGCACTCAGCAATTTTCGAAAAATTATATTGGGAAGTGTAGAGAGAGATAGAGATGGCGTGGATTTTATTTTACCAAAAATTGGAAGATGTTTTTTTACTTCAACTTTTTCAGTAATGAATAATGATTTTGGAATAAATAATAATCAAAAATTCACAGCTGTTCCATTTTTATTTAAAGTGCAACAAAATATGCATTAGTTATGATAATATATCAGACTAATAGTAAAAGCCTCCTAAACCTCCATAACCGTAGGCAGCAGGATATCCATAACCGTAGCCAAGTCCAGTGTATCCGCTGTAGAGTCCAGAGATAAGTTGTGGAGCAGGCTTGGGACTAGCGAGAGCAAAGGCAACAAGGGCCAAGAATACCAACTGAAACATCAAATGAAAAATATTAAGAGTGAACGATTAACACATACTTAAATTTTTTGATTTGCGTAAAATTTGTAATACAGGGTTATGCTACAGTAAAACGTAGTAGAGAAATAGAGCTAAATATTGTGTAATAATAGATGAAAAATAAAATATGAGATTCGTTTTATACTAAATAAATTATCTATCTCAATGGTAAAACTAGGATCATGATTTGAAGTTATCACAGATTTTTAAAGTAAAATTATTTTGAAGCATTTGATCTAATTTTTTTTTAGATTTCGAAGATTTATTAAACTAATTAAGTACTATTTAAATGCTAGTATAATTTAAAAAAATCTTAATCACTTCATGTATTGCAAAGAGAATAACTAGTCTAATTTATATGTATGTGAAACATTATATAAATACTTTACCATTCAAAGTTTAAATATGTATCATTTTAAAAATATTAGTAGAAAATCTATAGCTAAAGTAATACTATTATCTACATAAACTAATTAAATGTTAACTTACAAGTTTGAACATTTTGCTGGTGTTGTTACTTAACGTTTTAAGTTACTTATGAGTATTGTCGGAGTCCGGCCGAATTTATATACCATACTGGGTGTCTGTGACTGCGTAACCCCACTCTTTAAAAACAAACAATAACAAAACTGAACTTCAAGACAAATGAATAAATAACATGCTTTTAAATCAATAAGAGACCTGTTTTACAAGTCATTGAACACGCTGTAAACTAGTTTTGAAATTTCCTGCTTCTGCTTGTCACACGCCCCCGAAATTTATAAGTAGATAATTATTGTTTTTCATTAAAAGTAAAGAGAAGTTGCTGTTTAAATAATTTTATATTTTATTCATTTTTATAATTGAAAATCCAAAGTTCAAAAGCATATGTTCAAAATCTTCCCATTTATTTAGAAATGGCCCCTAAGAGTCCATTTCATAATGCGTATTATATTTTTAGAGCTTACGGATTTTCGAGAAAACAGTCGAAATGAAAAATAGCTAATATAAAATTGTTGAGGTGGTGGAATTTTCTCTTGTATGAAAGTATAATTTTTTAATTAACGCTAGTAAAAGAACCATTTTTACTTTTCTACGTTTTAATTCATTTTCGTCGAAAAATTCTTTTTCGTAAATCTTGTATGTTTACTTTCCATATTTCAGGGATTTTTCGAAATTGATGCATAATATTTTATACTAAATTTCGCCAGGGTTAAACATTTAGGCTTGTCAGAGCTCCGGAAAACACAATTCTATAATCAGCTCCAAATAATCTAAAGCGAAATTTTTAGTGTCCTTATTAAAGTGTTACAAAATTGAAGTTGAGAGAACTTTTGGATTCTTAACTGACATATGTTTAAAAATTAATGTACACTATATGATTATTTCATGAAATTGACAGAAAACGAAAATGTTATATTTTGTTTCCTTCTATTTTACATACATCGATGTGATAATTTACCAATGATACGTCATAAATACAACGTCCGCAATGTGTGACTTCGTTAGACCACTTACATTTTAGAACAAGGTTGGAAGATGAAACCGGGTATAATAAAATTTGTGTTTCACATTTCGATAAATAACAATTTACATAATGTATAAATTTACTTTAATATTCATATCTACTCGACTTAACGAGATTTCTGTCAATAAATACGTACAATTAATTATTATTCGGAGGCTTATTTCTTACACTTCCTTAATAATAAAGAAAACACACCTCCTAACGTACAAACTTGTGTATAAATCATGCATGAAATAGAAATGATTAAAAGTATACATTAATAGTTTCTTTTAAAGGTCCAAACTGTTTACCTACAGCTGATACGAATCATTATTTCAATGCTAGAATATTTTTTTAGCTTTTGCGTAAGATCCTCTGAACTGCCCTGACTTGAACCCTAATGCATTATAGCACTAGTTTTTGTGGAGGATACCCTTCTTATTCTTATATACTACGAAGTTATGGATATTTGTATTCAATTTCTGTAATCGATTTTAAATTGACAACTGCACATTAGTACGTACAATATACAAAAGTTACTGTTCATACCATTTTAGTGCCCACAAACGATGTTATTCGTTTATTGTCTTAATAAAGGTAACTACATTTAGTTACACATAAAAGACAGGTAGACGAGATGACAACAGACGAAAGTTTCCAGAAAACATATTTTTGGAATTTTCTGTCAACCAATCACCAAAACTGATTTGTGTAATTATAGGGATTGAGTTTAGTAAGTAGTTAATTTTAAATTTTTTTTGGCTTCTATGGTCAGAGTTTAGAATATATGTAACAACTATGTAGTGGTCTTCAGACAGTTATCTCTGTTGGTCGTCCTGCTATGGACAACCCTATTTATATAGACGAATGAGTCTTCAGTAAACACTTTGGGTATAAATGAGTATACTTAATCTTAACGAGAAATAATAATGCAATGTCACACATTTTGCTTAACAAATTTTATTTAAAAATTGTTATAAACACATATTTAAATATATCCATATCCTAAACCATAAGCGTATGGAGCATATCCCAACGAAGAATATCCCAAAGAAGAATAGCCTCCATAAAGAGCACCTCCCAAATATTGGGGTTGGGCTTTAGGAGCAGCCAGAGCAAGAGCTACGAGAGCCAAGAACAGGGCCTGAAATAATACATTATTTTATGATTCTGTTGAAGTTGTTTTAATTTTAAACTTACAAATTTGAACATGTTGAATTGTGTAAACTCAGTGGTAAACAATGATGACTTTGATGATATTTTCCATATTTATAGTAAACGTTTGGAGGGGTTGTTCTTAAATTGAAGGTGTACAAATTTAACCAGATCCACTTTTACAAAACTTTAATTAACATACATTACCTTGTTTATTAACTTGAAACAAACTATTTATTTTAATGGAATGATTCACGAGGTTGACATTATGATTACGAATAAATATAAATAATAATCAATATTGATAAATATTTACCATGATTTAAAAAAATATATTATTCAATTTTCGGTACCAGTAGCATGTATTTATTAACACGTATTTTATATTGTTGTTATGTATAAATATATCAATTAATTCGTCAAGATTTAAACAATAATAACCTTGCAAAGATTTTATTTATTGTATTTAAATTTATTTGTTTTAAGACCAGATGGTATGAAAGCAAGATCCAGTTTTTTTTTTGGTTGTGTTCTTACGGATTTTAAAAGAACTTCCTGGTGAGTTATAGCTGGCACACCCCCAGAAAGTCATTATAAATAGCGTAGAACCTAATTTGGACGTCAGTGTTTACCACAGATTAAACCAATACACTATTTCAAAATGTTCAAACTTGTAAGTTAAGAATTTATTTCATTTAGGTTTACCTTTGAAAACTGAACTTTCTTTTCCAGTTCGTCTTTTTGGCTCTTGTAGCTCTCGCTTTGGCTGCGCCTAGACCGGAACCCCAAATTCTGGGAACTAGTCTGTATGGAGGTTACGCAGGAATCGCCGGTTACACTGGTTTAGGATATGCCCCATACTCCTATGGATTAGGCTACATCTAATTGTTACGAAAATATAAATAAAATTTAAATAGCAAATAGTACATGATTTTTATTTTATGGATCTTCTAAAAAAAGTTTAAGAGTTATTTTATTCTCTTTTATATATATACAAAACTGATATTATAAAGATGTATACGAAACCAATGATCTTTGAATTATTTTGTATAAACTATTTCTAAAGATAAATTCATCTTCTTTGTTGTTATATGTAATGTACCGAAACCTAAAATATCTGTAGGTATTTTCTTCAAAATTATTTTACTTTGATGAAGAAGATGAGGAGTTAATTAAATGAGTAGCTCTTATTAAGTTATTTACATATTTTTAAATATATATAGAAAAAGTTAAGATAGTTATGGAATGAGAAAAATATTTGGATCAAAATAATCACACAGGCAGTCAATTAGTCGGTCAACAGGTGCAATTCTGTAAAAACTTGTTTAATGTATATACATAGTAACTAGTTATATTCGTAAATCTGGTTAGCTGCTTATTTTTAATAACCTTTAAATTTTAACACATTTTGATATGAATTGTATCGTATAACTTAACTGGCTTGTTAAATTAATAATAAATCAGGCCCTGACCAACAGTTTAACTTTAGATCAGTGTGTAACCAAGCGATTGACCACAGTCGACATAAGTCAGTTGATGGTCGGGCGGCATAACTAATCTATAAAGTTATTAAATATAATTTGAGCTAATTATGTCTAGATAGCGAGATTTGTTGAGTTACATTTTGGTCGCAAACCTTTAATTTAACCAACCAATGGATGGAAACAGCTACTTCTCCGAAAAGAACCCCATCGGACGCTGAATTATACGTGCTATCACTGGTCACACCATGACCATGTGTACGAGAAACAGCTCCTCCATTTACTTGGCGATCGTAAGCTAACGAAGAAGAGTATGAAAAAACAGGTATCCGTTTCCGTCTGTCTGTCTCCCGTCTGTCCAGATTATTAGGTATTAGACAGATAATCTCCGAAACTTCCAGACCGATTGTTGTCAAATTTTATATGCATTCTAGGGGTATAACGCTAACCAAAATTTGTTTCGTCCTCACCAACGTCAGCTCGAAAATCTGCAATAACAATATATTTTACAATTTAAATTTTGCAAAATCGAATGCTTTGAAATCTTGCAAAAGTTCTAACTTTATAAGACAGATGGTAAATCGTTAATCAAAATTTATTCCTTTATGGCCTTCCCAAAAAATGATGACGCCAATTAACAATGTTGCCAAAATGCATAATATTAAATGAAAATAGTTGGCCTTCTTTGTGTTGCTAAGGCAATTATAGAATATTTATTTATTTAAAAACGTCAACGTTGTTTTAATACGCGCTAATTTTCATTAAATTTTATTAATAAACGAAAATTTCAAAAACTAAGAATAAGATTCCGAAAACATTTACTGTTAATGATAATGATGAACACTGCATTAGTTTCCTTGGATTATTTAGGAAATATTTGACCATTAGAAACAAATGTAGCACAGATTTGAAGAGATTTTTCTTAAGACCTGAGAAGGGAAGATGTGTGAAACAACCGGTAGGACAACTATCAGAGTGATCAGATGGACACTCCGTTAGTGAAGTTAAATCAATGTTTTACTTATAAAAAATAATTTCAAAAACATATTTTGTTAATTTTCATAAAAAAAAAATGGTAAAATTAAACGATGTTGCTGTATTGAATCTTGTCATTTCACTTATTCGCTAATGGGATATGTATCCACTCACTTCCCTAAGGAGGTAATTGACACAGACTATTCCTTGAGTTACTAGAATTACTAGTTACTAGATTAGTAAATTGAACTTACTTTCATCAAATGTGGCTTGATAAAAGCTACTTACGAGAGTAAGTTGAGTTTTCACTCTAGACAAATCAAAAAACCAAAATTGTATAATAACGTTTTACAATTAAGTACAGAGAACATCTGATCTGATCTGATCTTGTGATCTTATTAGAGGAATTAATGTTGAGAACAAAAAGAGAAATTAACGACATAAACAATAATGCAGAGATATTGAGGCATGTGATCGATGGAGTTAAACAAAGAATGTACAACAAAATGGACAATATTTTCAGCATTTATTGTAAATTAATTTAATTTATTTAATAAAATTCATTAATTTTGTATCAATTTTTCTTGTGACTTCACACTTATTTTATTAAAAATCTGTCACCTGTCATTTTTTAACATTTGTCAGAGTAGATTAATCGCTAACATGTTAAATCCTTTCTATGGATAACTCGATTACAAATTATGTTGTTTGTCTGATACTGCATAAGTAAGGAGATGCAGTTTTAGGTCAGGCGCCTCCCACCACTTTCCGTCAGCAGCGTCCGCTGTTAAACTACTGATATGTATGTTAAATCTTGCATTTCGCCGTGCGACACTGGCGTGGCAATGATAATGAGGAGTGGGAGTTATAACCGCGTCCTTGAACTATTTTTGCATCTCTCTATTCATAAGGCACTGATTATTTACAAAACTCCTTAATTTTATTAAGTGGCATAAATCGATATTAATGGTTAAAGATGATTTTCGTATCATTTACAGTTCTTTAAATTATTCGCAATTTTTTTCTTTTTTTTTATTTCGTTATGAAGAAATTGTTTTACTCATAACTATAGTAGTGATTTTTATAACATTTCTGTTATGATGTACGAGTATGTAACAGTTCTCTCTAACAAAACCCTAAAAAATATAAATATTGTAATATTTTTGTCAATTTGGAATTCTTATACGCCCAAAATTTTGGAAATTTATAGTATGACCTTAAAATGATAAAATATTTCCGACTGTAAATTTGTAAAATAAACATAGTTTCCAGCTTAATTTTTTCACAGCAAAGCGACGTTAAAAGATTATTTTACTATGTACTTATACGTAATTAACAAACATGTTTTTTGATAACGTGCTACTGTTCTGCGCCTTAAGTTTAATGCCCCCTCTGACCATAGGAACGCGGTAAGTGCATACATTTTAACAAATTACGTTTATACCTCATCCAACATGAAAATCTAAGTGCAGTAATTTGATGTTTTTACACCTGTCGACGATTTGATGTAATGAGCCAAATCCAAAAATATTGTAACTTAGATCTTGTATTTGTTGTTTCAAACTAGGCAGACTCACCTCACATGGTCTCAAGCGACGTTTGACACGGTTCTAACAAAAACAGACCAGGTGTTGTATCCCGCACCCCTTTAAGGAACAACTAGTTCGAACAGGTCTGAACCGTTGGCACAACTACGAGATTGTTACTAATTTAACTTCGTAATTTCACTCTGAGGTCAATAGTACTAGTAAGGATACAATTATTTTTCCACTAACGAGTTTAATCAAAGAATAATGTAATATCTGTCCACAAAAATTAAAATGCCAGTAATTACAGACCAGTAGTTTTTTTAGAAATTTTCAAAAAAGATTTATTCCGTTAAAATAAATTAATAAGTGACATTTTTACGAACAGTTAGCGTGAATTAAGGCTGTAATATTAGAATATAGTTATAAGTCATAGTAAAATTTGTGAACTGCATAAAGTATGTTTACAAAAAGGCCTTAGAGCGTAGGTAAATTTTTGAATTTGGAAAAGATTTTTATTGGGTTTGCCACAAGGAATTAATACAGAAATGCATTTTTTTTAATTTAAGTAAAACCAGCTGTAAAATTTTATCTTGAAATGAACGAAAAGGTTTCAAGTTGTACAATTTAAAGAAAATGAAAGTAATTAACTCTCGTGAAAGACTGGACAACCGCAGGTTTCTGTTCTAAAAGTGATTAGAGCAATACTAAAATTTGCAGAAGTGATCTTGGGAGACTAAGAATTATCATAGTTAAGAATTATCATAATCGTTTAAGTTACGGATTTTTTGTATGCATATAGAAATGATATTGTTAGATGAATCAGTTTGGTAATTTTAGTTTTTCCAGAAATGCTAGATTCACGAAATAAAAATACTTATTTGGTACTTAATAAATTTTATTCATAGTATCATTTATAATAGTTAGAAGTATCCCAGTCCATAAGAATATGGAGCATATCCTAAGCCAGTGTAACCGGCGTATCCGGCGTAGCCCCCATAAAGACTAGTAGCCAAAATTTGTGGTTCGGGCCTGGGAGCAGCCAAAGCGATAGCTACAAGGGCTAGGAAAACAAACTAGAAGAAAAAAATATTTGAATTCAACATTAAACTAGAAATAAACTCTTATTAACTTACGAGCTTGAACATTTTGAAGTGGTTGATTCGTGGTTATCACTGACTTCGAAATTGCTTGATGCGTTATTTATATTGCCTTTTTGGGGGTGTGTCTCTGGCTACAACTTATATATTGTCAGGAAGTTCTTTTAAATCCATGTGCGCAAAACCACTTTAAAAAACTGGATCTTGCTGCAATTAACATATACACTATCTGGAATTACGACAAATAAATTGAAACAAAATCGTTACAAGGTTAATATTTATCATTGTTTATAAGTTACAGAAAAAATAAAAATATATATATATATATATATATAACAAAAGGTGTTTTAAACTGTAGATAATTAGCTGCACATTATTGTCTTTCGAACGGTATCCTAACCAGATTTTACCTGATATTATGTATATTTATTCTACAAGCAGAAGGCTAAATTTATGAAACATTTCATTTAAATAAAAATTTGTTTCAGATCAATAAACAAGTTGTATGTATGTTAATTAAATTTCTGTAAATTAAAATATAAATTTTGCAGGAACTACCGATTCCCGACTTGCAAAACACACCTCCAAAATTTTACTATAAATGTAGGAACAGTTGTCGAAGTAATCAGTATTCGCTACTGACTTCACACCCGTTCAACATGTTCAAACTTGTAAGTTTGAGTTTTTAAATAAGAAGAATGTATGACTAAAGTAATGTTTATTATATTTCAGTTCGTTTTCTTGGCACTCGTAGCTTTTGCTTTAGCTGTCCCTAAAGCTCAACCTCAGTACTTGGGAGCTGGTCTTTATGGAGGTTATTCTTCTCTGGGATACTCTTCTTTGGGATATGCTCCATATGCTGGTTATGGTTTAGGATATGGATATGGATACATTTAAATTTATAGTGATAACAAAGTTTTAGAAGAAATAAAATCTTTTAAACAATATTAATGCTTAATTATTATTTATAGAAGTTCCTGAGCGTAAGCTAGGGAAATGTTGTAATAGAGTCCATTCGGCAAATGGTCACTTTCATGTTTCCGCGACGTTTCGTAATCCCCAGGGTATAAAAATATGGTCTAAATTTATTGAGCAGAACTTTCCGTGACCGCAGACAAACAGACAGACGGACAGACAGACGGAAAAGGGAGACCTATTTCTTCGTACTCTAGGGGCCATGAAAGGTCGAGAAAACGTAAAAGTAGAGAGTCGGTCGGCGGACTCGATTACAATACTTCCTTCGCTTACGCTCGTAAAGTAATAAATTCTAAAATAAAGATATCCAGGTTTTAAGTGAGTGTTTCGCAACAATATTTTTTGTTGAAGTCATCGACATTTTAGCAATACTAATAATAACAGTAGTGCATTCTCAAATCTTTGAGAAAATGAGATAAGCTGTTCTTTATTTGATCAATAAAACAAAGTGCTTTATTCATTATCAAAGTTGTTTAGACAGAACTTCCTCTGGCCCCTGAAACATAAGCGAACAAATCGAGGGTAGAGAACGAAAAACTAGTTTTATATTCAGTACCATCCCAACACAATCAATTTGGCCTCCCCTACAGACCCCAAGCAACTGTTCCTAGTTATTTGAGTCTCCTTGTTATTATTAGTGTTTTACTTTGTGGACAAACCTTCCTGAGCAAAAACTCAACATGGATTCATAAACAACAAGTGCAGGAGAATGTTATTTTATAAAATTTAAATAACAATTACCTACTATTGTAAACTTTGGAGATGCCGGTATCCCATTGTTGATGGAGGTGATTATAGGAATTTTGGTTAGCTCTTTACCATCTACAGGATATTTACATGTATGTAAAATTTGACACAATCGGCCTGGTTGTTTCCAAGATTGTTTGTCTATTAAAGACTGAAACAAACAAATACACAGACGGAAGCTGGAGACCTATTTTTTCGTACAAATAAATTTTAATAAACGTTTTTCCAACACATAAAAGTTTTATTTGCCACTATTTGGGGCAGACTACATGAACATTTTTCCGCGTTAAACGTAAAAGATCTTCATATACATATTTTGATATTTCCCACGTCTTATCCTTATGAGACCAGATATCATGGAGTAGCTGCTTTAAAGACAAAATACAGGACTCGACTTAATATATTTAGTTCTTGTTCTTACGAAGTTTTTGAAATGGATCTTTGACCTACTAGGACTTTGCCATTAAGTTTTCGTCGGTTATAAAAGACCTCATAAACTTTTTAGCTTTTCAGTAATAACAAATAAAACTTTGAAGTATTGGAAAAAATTAATCAAAATTTATCTATTTTCTGCCTAAAAACTTGATGTATCTAAAATGTGCAAAACAGTCTGAGTCTATAGTTGTGATTTATTTATGTATTTCTATTGTATTGAATTGCTTTTAAAGGTGATTAAAAAATTATGAATGGAGCAACTTGTTTTATTAATTAAATCAAGAACGGTTCATCTCATTTTCTTAAAAATTTGGGAATACAATACTGCTATTGTTAAAATTGTTAAAATGTCGGTGACGTCATCACAAAATATTGTTGCCAAAAATTCACTTGAAATCTATGATTTAATGGTCCACACATATCTTTATTTTAGCTTTTCATACAAAAAAAAAACTCGAAAAATAAAATTTTATCGTTTTTATAAAAAACTGAATTTGTTTAATTGTACTTAAAGGGTGAAGAAATCTATGAAAATCATGAAACCATTCGCTGTATGGACCCTACAATATTTCAATAGACGCTCGGAAACTATAAATAGGCACTAATATTATTTAAAATATTTTATTTCTTGTAAAAATTTGTTATCACTACAAATTTAAATATATCCATATCCATATCCTAAACCATAACCAGCATATGGAGCATATCCCAAAGAAGAGTATCCCAAAGAAGAATAACCTCCATAAAGACCAGCGCCCAAGTACTGAGGTTGGGCTTTCGGGACAGCTAAAGCAAAAGCTACGAGAGCCAAGAAAACGAACTGAAATAAATAAACATTATTTTAGTTATACGTTCTTATTATTTGAAAACTCGAACTTACAAGTTTGAACATGTTGAACGGGTTGAAGTCAGTAGCGAATACTGATTACTTCGACAACTGTTCCTACATTTATAGTAAAATTTTGGAGGTGTGTTTTGTAAGTCGCGAATCAGTAATTCCTGCAAAATTTATATATGTACATATAAAATTTAATTTACAAAAATTTAATTAACATACATACACCTTGTTTATTGATCTGAAACAAATTTTTATTTAAATGAAATGATTCATAAATTTAACCTTCTGCATAAATAATAAATACCTATACATAACAACAGGTAATATCTAGTTAGTATATCATTGGAAGGACAATAATGTGTAGCTAATTATGTACAGTTTAAAACACCTTTTGTTATATACATATTTTTTGTTATTTTTTCCGTAACTTATAAACAATGATAAATATTAACCTTGTAACGATTTTGTTTCAATTTATTTGTTGTAATTCCAGATTGTGTATATGTTAATCGCAGCAAGATCCAGTTTTTTAAAGTGGTTTTGCGCACATGGATTTAAAAGAACTTCCTGACACAATATATAAGTTGTAGTCAGACACACCCCCGAAAAGGCAATATAAATAACGCATCAAGCAATTTCGAAGTCAGTGATAACCACATATCAACTACTTCAAAATGTTCAAGCTCGTAAGTTAAGAGTCTATTTCTAGTTTAATGTTGAATTCAAATATTGTTTTCTTCTAGTTTGTTTTCCTAGCCCTTGTAGCTATCGCTTTGGCTGTTCCCAGGCCCGAACCACAAGTTTTAGCTACTAACCTTTATGGAGGCTACGCCGGATACGCCGGTTACACAGGCTTAGGATATGCTCCATTTTCTTATGGACTGGGATACTTCTAACTGTGTTGATACTATGAATAAAATTTATTAAATACTAAATAAGTATTTTCATTTTCTGGAAAAACTAACAATAATGTTTATTAGCTACGTAATATGGGGCAATACCGTGGTTCTACACAAAAAGTCCGTAACTAACCGATTATAACAACGATTAGTTTCGTATAAATACTGTTTCTGAAAATTTAATTATTGTCCTGCAGGCTCATTAATCCTGTTTAAATTGAGAACTGGCTGTTTTGTTAATAAAATAATAAATGATAGTGGGCAGAAACTTGCAATTGTTCAGTGGTTGGCGACAGCTATTTTCACATTCATTTCCTTTAAAATTTTCAATTTAAAACCTGTTCACCCATCGTGAGATAAAATCTTATAGCTGATATTTTTTGAATCATGAAAGTTTCCTAATTTGTATTAATTCCTAACAGCCAACGTAGTAAAGATTTTTTACAATTGCAAAAATTTAGATAGGCTGTAATGCCCCTTTCTTAAACTTAACTACTTTGATGCAGTTTATAAATTTTGTTATGATTTATATTGTATTGAGACCTTTTTTAAATCCACCTTGACTGTTCGTAAATATGTCAATACTTTCCACTTATTTACTGTGGTGGAGTACTTCCTTTTTTAAAATTTCTAAAAAAAGGTCTCTAATTACTGTCATCTTTATTCTTATGAACAGGGATTATAACAGCTGCACTTGTAAAGACAGTTAGGGAAGTTCAAAGTTCGAATGCATTCTTTTATTATGGTTAGACTCGTTAGTGGAAAATTAATTGGATCCTTAGTAATAATATTGACGTTGAAGTGAATTTACCACAGTTCAGTAAATTAGTAACAAACACCTAGCTGCACCAAGGGCTCAGAATTATTATAGTTAGTTGCTCCTTAAAGGGCTGCGGCATATGGCACCTGGTCTATTTTTGTTAGAACCGTGTGTCAAACGTCTTCTGAGTCATGTAAGAGGCAACAAATACAAGCTCTAATTTACAGTCTCCTTGAGGATTTATTATACCGCGTGCTGTTGAATTCGAGTTAACAAGCTGCGACAAATGTAATTAATATTTTGATCAATACGTCAAAACCCTGGCAGGCACAATAGTAGATTGTTTTATTAGGATTAAAAGTGCCATTTTTTGCGACGAGCAAATTTTGCATTTGCGAGGCGGAGCGAAGCGAAGCCGAGCGGATGCAAAATTGCGAGTCAAAAACTGACTTTTAATCCGAATGAAACATACTACTTTTTCGCCAGCCAAAAAGTAAATCTCAAAAATACAAAATATTGATAACAATAATATCGAGCAGAAATGAATCAATCTGCAAAGTAGTCTGGTATCCACGTCGTCAAGGCTTTTTTTGTTTGCTTACATACCATTGTTTTGTGAAAACGTTTGCAGTGTTAATAATGAATCCTGAAGAAGAGTTACCTCCCGATGTGCTAGAAGAAGCACAAAACGTGGTACTGAACTTGTTACCAACAAAATCGCGCGAAGTGTATGAGTGCGCGTATACCCGCTTCATCAAATGGTGCGAAGGGAAAAAGATTCAAACTTATTCTGAGAACGTCCTATTGGTATATTTTTCCGAATTGGCTACAAAAATGAAGTCATCCACACTGTGGTCGCAGTATTCCATGGTGAAAGCAACTTTAAATATAAAAAATGGCATAGAAATCGGAAAGTATTCAAAATTAAAAGCGTTTATAAAGAAACAAGGAGAAGGATACGTTCCAAAGAAATCAAGGGTTTTAACTAATGAACAAATAGAAGTTTTCTTAGACACGGCTCCGGATTTCAAATTCCTGATGATGAAAGTATGTTTATAACCTAATGAAGAGCTTATATTTATTTTACGAATTTTTTTCAGATTGTTGTAATCTTTGGCGTTAGCGGAGCTTGTCGGTGTCACGAACTATTACAAATAAAAACTGAAGATATTGAAAATATTAAAGCAGGTTTATTGGTAAAAATTCCTGATACCAAAACGAAAAAACCCAGATCATTTACGGTTATGGGGGAAAAGTATTTGAAATTTTACGAAAAGTATGTAGCGCTTCGTCCAAAAATGTTTAATGAAGGTCGGTTTTTTATTAAATATGTCGACGGAATGTGCCATCGACAAGTAGTTGGCATTCATAAAATTAGTGGTGTAGCCCAAGAAGTAGCCAAATATTTAAAGCTAGAAAACTTTAAAGAATACAGCGGACATTGCCTACGTCGGACTTCTGCCACGCTTTTTGTGGATTCTGGCGGTGATATTACGTCCCTCAAGAGGCACGGTGGGTGGAAATCTGACAGTGTAGCCGAAGGTTACATAGAAGAGTCTCTTAAACACAAAAAAGATGTAGCAAAAAAAATTTTTCGTTTGGAAGAACCAGGTACAAGTAGTGAAACCACAAGTAAAATACATGAAGACGCAACGAATAGGAATGTGAGCGAAGTAAACCTAGAAGAATCAGGTACAAGTAGTGGAACTACGAATAGAATGATCACACGTGAAGACGGAATAAGTAGGAATGTGGGAGCAGTAAACCTGAATTTTGACACTGTGACCAACCAGACAGCAGGAGCGGTAGAAGTGTTAGCGCAAAATATTATTACTGACCGCATGAAAAATGATAATAGTGACGGAAAATCTTTAATCCAAATCAATCGCAGTTGTTCTTATTGTACATTCAATATTAATTTTAAAATTTAAATAATTAATAACAATGTAAGTTAATAATAAAATTGGAAAATATTAATAGCATTTCATTCTCAAAATAAAACAATTGAAAACTTTTTAAGGCTAGGATTAAAAAAAAAAATTAATGCTAGGATTAAAAAGGCAAAAATGACGTTGTTACTTTAGTAACGCAACTTTTTTTTACTCTCACAAAAACGTCAAGTTTTCCGTCCAAAATTGACGTTAAAAGTGACATCTTTTAAGACGGCTGGCGAAAAATATATTTTTTAGAATTTTTATTCCTTCATTAACGGGAATTTTAATTTAGTAAAAGAGGTGAATATGTAATGGTTAAGTACAACCCAAAAATAAAAATAACATATTTAGGATAATATGGAAAGGAAAAATAAAAAATGAAACTGAAGATGTAAAACCTTGCAGTATGTCTTGAAGTGGCGAAATTATACACCACTATTCGTGCTAATGGAGATAAGAATCCATAATTTGTACTATGGAGCTAGGGCCGATTGCTTTTGAGAAATCGACCGGAAGTGTTAAGACCATCATATAAACGTAATAAGTCCTTGCAATCAATAATGCCATTAAATAACTATCAGACTATCACAGTTTACACATTAAAAATTCTTTGACTGAGTAGAAACCTCTATCGATCAGCAGAATTGCAGTTATAGTTTTGTCAAACCCTCTGTCAGTTTTCTTTTCTTATTTCCTTTGAAAGACGGTTGTACATTTTACGTACAAATCAACGAATTGTTGGGTAGATCGCCTGCGGTGTATTGGAATTCCCAAGGCATCTCTATTTCTAATGTTAGATTCATGGGTGTCCCCATTATTTTTTACCCGAGATTCTCTGACTTAAACCACATATACTTCTGACTATTTTTTCTGGAGTCTAAATATTCTGAATATTTCGGATCGTTGTCCACAGAATACCATAGGTGAGATGCTTGTGGACTCTTGCACAATATGCAGTTTACGCTATCAGATTTGTTCCTATTTGTCTCATGCGTAAGAGGAAGATGGCTGTGGATATTTTCTTGCAGATATATTCGATGTTCATTGCTCATTTGAGTCTTGTATCCAGAAGAATGCTAAGGAACTTTGCGGATTTGTGCTCGGCTGTATGCTAGAAGGTAACCACGTACTGATGCTATTTATACTTCTTCTGTTTTTTTTTCTTTTACTTCCTCTATTGTTTTATCTCGGTTGAGTAGGTTTACTTTAGGTCATTTATATATATATATATATATATATATATACGTATCCAACCGTCGTTACCAAACCCATCATATTAAACAGACGTTACCAAGCCCGGCTGTTTTTCCGAGTATAATATAATAAATTTAATGGTTTTTGCAATAACAAACTTAAAAAAAAGTAGAGGGGTAAAATTATTCCTTGAAAAAAGTTAACACCATATTCATCCAACGTTACCAGACCCACTATGTCCAACAGCTTTCTCAGTCCCATTTCAGTATAAATAACACAGTAAACCGACGTTATCAATCCCGACACTGTTGCCACATTAAATTTATGAAAAATCGCTTCACATTGTATTGATCTGTAAAATTTCTTGTGTATCTTGAAAGTTGGATTTACAACCAGTGATGGATATGCAAAAGTGTCACAAAAGAAAATAAGGAAAACCAAAAATATATCTTATCTGCCTGTCTTTTTGACGCCATGAGTGCCATGACAAACGGATAACTCATTAATAAAATTAACACCAAGGCGATTTTTTTATTAACAGATATGCAAGTTTGATAGACATTAGTAACATTTTCTTTTTACTAGTTGTACATGTCTATCGAGTTAGCTCAACCAAAATTTGGATACCTATTCCCACCTAAAATTTCAAGAAAATTTATAAAATAACATAATTTTACACTTGCGATTTTGAATGCAATTTTTATTTGACCTTAGGCTTACAAATTTGTAAAAAAAAATGTTAGCACAAAAATTTTCTAGTTTATTTCATAAAGTTTTTAAATGATATCTAAGCTTTTCTTACACATAACATAAATCACAAATTAAGATTTTTTAATATTAAAATCCTAAAAAAATCGAAATTTTTACCACAAAATGGTACAATATGTGTTAGAAACTTTAAGATTGATTTAGAGATCTAAAATTGCATATTCTTTAAGAGTAACTTTAATATTTCAAATTATTAATTAAAAAATTTAAGAACGCTAAACTAGTAATAAAAAGACCCTCTTCAAAAGAGTTACAATGCTCCATAGCAATTATTTAATCAATACTTGTTAATAAGGGCGATTAATGATTGCCTATTAACAAACGAGTTGGTTGCAATACTTCTCCGGTGATTGCAATTTCATACACGAAACTGCTAAAAATCAGTTCCAAATTTCATGATATTTATAACATTTAAATAAAAAATTTCACATCAAGTGCGCGGGGGTATATCTGATTGCTGTATTAACCCATTAATATATAAATCGATTATTAATAGCCGTAATTAATGAATGATTTCGAGACAGAATCACCAAAAAATGTTTTTAAGCCTAGCTGGCAGCTTTAGAAGCACAACAAAATGCTCTATAATTTTATGCAATTTTAAGCTTGTCTCTGTCTATATTGTTACATAGAAAAACATAATTTCATGAATTATCGGTAATCTTAGTGTCAAAACTCAATGCATAAAACGTTTGCAAATTTACAGGCCCTCGAAGGATCTCGATCCCTTAATAATACTTAGCGTGGCAAACGCTACAATGAAATTAGTACATGTGAAGTCCATGTGTCATTTTTAGTTTTCGTGTACATATTTTGTCTGAACCATATGAATTCTGCAAAATAATCCTTATGCTTGCTGAGACACATTTTAAGACTTTCATCTTTCTCTAGATTGTCTGTCATCTAAGTATACCGGGTGTCCCACGTAACACTTTCGGGCACAATAACTCAGGTATTTTTGAACGGATTGTTATGAAATTTGAAATGTAGGTATTTTGATAGATGGGGATTAATATGAACCGGTGAGAATAATCATTATCTTGAAAAAGTAAATTTTCCATGCCTTAATTTAATTTTTAACTTTAATTAATTTGCAGCACTTGATTAAACATGAAAAATAAATACTGTATGCAAAATTTCATCTCCGAAATACGTCTGGTTAGCCAAACCGATAAATTATTGCGAAAATAATTCCAAAAATTATTAAAGGATAGGTTACTATGGAACAAGAAACTGCTATCCTCGCATTTTGGACACCCTTGCGGGAATTTGATACCTGTTTGCCAAGCGTTATTTTTTGAATTTTAAGAAAATACTAATTTTCAGTCATTAATTTTTTTGAGACAGCTGTATAACCAAATCTAAAAAATATTAATGCAGTGATAAATCACAAGTATAAAGTCATCATATTTTGCGTATTTAAGATAGGATTTATTTAGCAAAATTTTGAGGTGATGTCATCAATTGTTTTTTAGGGTGGATGAGCAAATACATTCTGATCAAAGATTTACTATGTTTATGATAATCTTAAACATCTCCATGATTTTAAAACATTCGGTTTTGCAGTTCCTGATTAAATTAATAAAATAAATCACGCATTCAATAATTTTTTTGTGTCATCCTGTTTATGCAAATTCAAAAAATGTGAATAAAATTTATACCGCAAAATTTTGATGTTTCATAATTTTGATTTTTTTCCAAAATTCTGCACTTTTCGGATAAAACTCAATACGAAGTCATAAACTACATGTGTAGGACTATGTTATTTCATACAATTTAAAACCCATTTACTATGTGCAATTTTAAAGTGACGTCATCACATTGTTGGTGAGGACGATTAGACAAATTTTGGTTAGCGTTTTACCATCTACATGATATTCCTAATATACTCGTAAATACAAAATTTGACAACAATCGCCCCGTACTTTCGGAGATTATCTGCCTAATAAAAATCCAGGTCTGCAGACAGACGGACAGACGGAAATGGGAGACCTATTTCTTCGTCCTGTAGGGGTAATGAAAGGTCGAGAAAACGTAGAAGTAGAGAGTCGGCCGATGGACTTGATTACAATACTTCCTTTACTTACGCTCAGTAAGTAAAAAATTAACTAAATGCGAAATTCTAACGAACAGAAATAAATAAAACATTTGCCGACAAATATATTCATTAAAAAAAAATTGAATAAAAACTAAATGTTGCTTTAAAAAGATTGTTGTCGAAATCTACCAATAGATGTACAAATTAGATGTAGTTAAAAAATGATTTCTGTCAATTAATATTAAGTGAGAATCAATTAATTTAGAATATAATCAAGTTCCTATCTTCAAATAAAAATTAAGTAAAATATGGATACGTAGATCATTATAGCGAATTTGAAAATAAGAGAGGATTAAAAAAAAACTACACTTACAGAAGTATACAATTTTGCACTTTTCAAATTACATTCAGTTAAACGCTTTGGTGACCTAACCTGACCACGTTCATTATAACTATAAATGCTCATTCACAATGGGCATAAAGCATAAGGATGTCATAAGGATTAATGCATAAGAAAATTATGTTTAGTGCTCTATTATGCTTCTATTCGTTTACAATGAGCATAATGCTTAGGACATCCTTATGCTTTATGCCTATTGTGAATGAGCACTTATGCTCATTGTGAACGAATACAACCATAGAGCACTAAACATAAATTCATATGCATTAATGCTTATGACACCTTATGCTTTATGCCCTTTGTGAATGAGCACTAAGGCATAATTATGCAAAATTTTGCGGAGTCGTTTTCTAATTTCTGAAATTAATTGTCAAATGTTGAATAATTTTTATATATTTTTCAAAAAATTGACATATATCGTCTACTAAATATAAATACAACGATCTGATTTAAAAAAAATAATTTTTAACTTTCATTTGTTTTTATCTACGACATAGAACTTTTGTTTTTTAAATGACACCAGACACTCTGAATATTTTTTTAAGATTCATGTAGAGATTTTTTCTAAATTTATTGATGTATCATAGTGTACATAATACGTTAATATTTTCAAACATTAATAATTTAATACATCATATTTGCAATAAAATGTCTTGAGTTAATAATGTTTTCGTATAGAAGTTTAATTTTCAAATTTAAAACTCCTATACATTAATAAGTGTTATAAACCGTGTTAAACTTGCTATGTAACAAAAATTTTGGTACATTTTTCCGTCACAGTTACCTTGCTAAAAAAATTAAATTAATTTTTACCACAACTTTTTAACAAAATGCGAAACATGGTACATCAATGTATTCAGAAAAAAAAAATCACAAGAATTAAAAAAAATATCTAGGATGTCATTTAAAAAACAAAAGTTGAATGTCATAGGCAAAAAAAAAAAAGTTAAAAATCAGTTTTACAATTAAGATCGCAATACATTTAAAATGATTTAATTTGATCTATTCAAAAAAATAAGATAGCTACGGTCCCGGGCTTTTTTTTTTTCGAACATATGGTATATTTAAATTAAAAAACCTTATCTTTATTATTTTTATTAAACATAAGGCTGAATTATGTATTTAGTTAATTAGCATTTTACCCCCGTCTCCACGATAATCCTAAACTGTATCTATAATTTCAAAATAATCTGTATAGTATATAATTTTGGAAATTGTCTCTAACAAGAACGGCGGACAAATGACAATGAAAGACATAATTTTTCATATTCTAGGTCTAATAAGAGTTATGTAACATCGAGAAAACATGAAACTAGCCATTCCTCAAACGATTCATTGTAAAAATGCTTTATTAATTCAAATAACATATTTTTACTTAATGCAAGCAGTCAGATACAAGTAGAATAAGAAAAGCACTCATGATTTTCTTAAATACTGAACTGATCTGCTAGAATGCAGTGTTGCAGATTTACGGATCTGGTAACGTTGGTCCGATGTGGACGATTTTATGCAGGCAGATATTATATACAGCTAAGCGACACGACGCCCTCTGCAGAAAAGGGGAATGAACTATTTCTGTATAAAATTTGACGTTCAACAGTTTTACCAGACCCACTTTTTTATTTCAATTTTTAATTGTACTGGGCTCAAGAAGGCGATATACATGGTTAAACGTTATCAGACCCGAACCCGGGTCTGGTAACGTCTCAAAAGGTCTGGTAACGTTTACTAGATATAGCGAGTCGGGACTGTGTAAGCGGTATAACAACTATATATATATATATATATATATGATGAAAAGAACTGGTGCCAGCATGGAGCCCTGCGGAACTCCATACTTGACTTCACTTTCTATCGATGATTTACCCTTCCAGAAACCCTCTGACCAGTTCTTCTGAAAGTTGTTTGAGAAGTTCCGTTTCGTGTCAAAAATATCTTTGGTTTTTTTCGGTTTTATTTGGTTGAAAATCTTTCGGAAATCATCTTCAGTAGTGTCAAAAACAAAACAAAATTTTAGTGACATGGCAATTATCTTGTTGGAGCAGATGTTCTGCTGTGATGTTTACATTTAATGGGATACTTGTTGCCGTAGTTTTTCGAACAGACGCAAAAAATTTGTTCAAAACCTTAGCTGTTAAATTTAAGTTTTCTTCTTTCATGATTTTTTTTTTTGTAATATTGACTTCCACATGGCCTTCTGTTTATTTGCTGCATTATTCACAAAATATTCATTTATTTTCATGGTTGAATTTTGAATTATTTGTTGATACAGTTTCTTGTAGTCTTTATCGTCTTCATATGACTTTTCAGTTTTTTCCATGCTTGATTTCGTGTGGAGTACTTCAAGGTGATTTTCCATTTTGATTAACTCTGCGGATTTATCAATTGTTGCAAAAAGCATTTTACGACAAATGATGAAAGCGCATCCGAAGCTTTCACCATTTGCAGTCTTGTCGGTTAGGATACTTCTGAAATCACCAAAATTATTTACTAATTCTTGTCTTAAACAGTGTATATTTACATCTGACATTTGCCTAGATTTGACGATCTTATATCTATCTTATATTCTACAGCTCTATTCTGTCTTGGAATGCAACATTTTAGAATGTGCTTGATGATCTGACATATGTAGTTCTTTCCTCTGTGTTGTAGTATCATTTTTACTAAAATTAATAAAAAGTTGTCATTGTTGTTTTGTTCTGTATTCCGGACCGTATAGTCGTTATTAATTTCAAGCCGAATGTACGAAGTTCAATTAAATATTTAATTGCGATTAAATTTTTAACACGGAGTTAAATTACCACGTGACCGACTGGACGCCAATCAGACGTTGCTAAACGCCTCGTTAAATGCCCAATTAACTTAACTTCAGCTAAAGTATTATATAAACTGGCCCTATATCTCTAGTATCTACCTCTATTGGGAAACAAAGTTCAAATTGAAATCTCCTGTAAGGACAATTATTTTATCCTTGTATTTGTTGATTATTATCATTGTGAGAATTTGTGTCAGTATTTCGGAAAATACATTTAGATCATTTTTTGGCATTCTGTATGCTGTGACAACTATAAAATTTATCCTTTCGACGTATATCCTCATCAATTCTGCATCTAAACTATTGCCTTATTGCTACGAATGCGACTCCATGGCTTTTCTTCATCAACATAATAATATATATACGCTGGGTTGGTCCAGTTTGTTTTTTATTGATTGTATGTTATAATTTGAGATCAAAAAGTGATTCTTAGCTGGTTCTGGGAGTTCTTCTGGGTCTTTTGACTCGATGTTTGTCGGTTTCTTCGGGTTTTTGTGAAAAAACCTAGTACCGTACGCATCATTTTGCCAGTTTTCCGCAAAGTTGCCTTTTCATAGTTGTTTCTTTCGACTGCAATCTTAAAAGATGCGTATTTTTCGGAAAACTTGTCTGGTTCAGAGCACTGTAACTTGACCACATTTAGAATTGCTTTTTGGTAGTTTCAGTACTGAATCTAGAAGCATAATATATGAACGCGTTCTTTGGGGTCATATGTATTCCTGCGAGTTCTTTGATGTTTTTGGCACCAAGGACTCCATTTTCTTCGGGCTTTTCGGAGAATTTGACCTATTATTCATTTCCTTAACCGCTTTTCTCTTTCTTTTCTTTTCGACCTGTTTCCAGTTTTCTTCTTCAGGAACCTTTTTTTCAACGTTTACGAAGTTGGATACTACTTCCTTTCCCACTGTTTTTTCTTGGTGGTTGTTATTGTTCTTTGTTGTTGTGTTTCTTTAATTATGATTACTGTATCAATTTTTTTTTGGATTTGGTCCCTTGAAACTATTAATTTCTTCACTAACTGGCACAATTCTGTCACGATATTATTCTGATCAAAGTCAGGAACGTCGAGTGACACTTGAAGGAGTTGGCGTATCTTTTTTGTTACGCCACATCACGCTAAGCACTTCCACGTTGCCTTCTTCCTATGAAAACCCCTCATGTTTATATTTTCACATTTATTATTGTAGCTTTTGTCACTCCATTGTTGATAACTGATATTCAAATAACTACATTGATTCGTAACATTTAATTTCTTTGTTGAAGGTTACTCTTACTTAAAGGTCGACTTATTTCACAATTGTTTTTACCTCTCCAGAATGGAGGAATTAACGATTTTTCACCTAAATATTTTGTGTTTGATTTAGGTGCGTTTGTCAAACCCTGATGTTCATCGCTTTGCATTTGAACGCATTCCGTTGTAAAAAAAATCATCTCCAACGTAAGGTTTCATTTTTGTTGACAGTTCAAGGTCAAATTTTATGTTTTCCACCGGTTTTTAAAATTTTGTTCAATGCCAAATTTTGGCGAATGAATCACACTAAAATCGAAAAGCATTTGTTGATTATGGAAAGTTCTTAAATAATGATTTGACCTAGCTTGGCTGTGAAAAACTCAACCTGACAACTTTCTTTATTAAACAAATTTACAGTTGGTGATATTTTATTATCTTAAGGTCCGACTATAAATTTCAAAATTTCGGACATATAAGAAATCCAAATTGAAAAGCATTATGATGTTGATGTTTTTTGGGCTTTTAGTAAGAATCATTACCTACATCATAATAGAAATACTTATTCCGTTTCTAAAAAAGCCATTACATTTACGAATAAAACAGTTTATTCATAATGAAATTGTAGAAGAAAATCGTGGATAATTTTAAAATTTAAGGAAATGTAAATGACACGGAAATCATCGTTATTCACTAATATTGATTTATGCAACTAATAAAATTAAAGGATTTTGTAAACAATTAGTGCTTTATTAAGTATCGGACGAGCACCAGCAGCACCATAATTTGTAATCGAGTTATCCTTGGAAAAGATTTAGCAACATTGTTCAGTTTGTTCCATAGTCGATTCCACGATAATTTTTAGTTTATTGGATCAAAAGGTCTTTTCAAACATTATTTGTTTAGTATTTTTATAAAAAATTAGATTCATAAAATAAAATTATTTACTGTTTGTTTTTTAAATTTTATTTATATTTTCGTAACAATTAGATGTAGCCTAATCCATAGGAGTATGGGGCATATCCTAAACCAGTGTAACCGCCATATCCAGCATAACCTCCATAAAGAGTAGTGCCCAGAATTTGGGGTTCCGGTCTAGGGGCAGCCAAAGCGAGAGCTACAAGAGCCAAGAAGACAAACTGGAAAAAGAAAATGTTTGGTATATTACTTTAAACCAAGAAACAAATTCTTAACTTACGAGTTTGAACATGTTGAAGTAGTTTCTTAGATTGGTCTGTGGTTACCACTGGTTTCTATACTGTTTTGTACGCTATTTATAGTGACTTTTTGGGGGTGTGTCTGGTTGTAAGTTACTTATTGTCAGGAAGTTCTTTTAAAGTACATGTACGCAAAACCACTTAAAAAAACTGGATTTCGCTTTAATTAACATACATAACACCTGGTCTTAAAACAAATTTATTGAAATAAAGTTGTTACAAGGTTGTTATTCTACAGGAAAATATTAAAAAAAGATGGACCAATTTATTATATTTGTTTACAAGAGGTTATGTTAATTATTACGCATGCCAGTTAAAAATTTCTGTAGCAACTGTGTATATTTACAAAAAAAATATGCATTGCATATATAAATATGTATTTATCTTTATTGGTATTTAAGTCACATATCTGAAACATTTAATTTAAATTAACGATTTTTCGGCAAAATAAATACAAAATGAATACTTGTTAACTTTAATGCCAATGAATTTTGTACCTGTAAATTTTTCACAAACTTCCTACTCCAGGCTTGGAGGACATACCATAATTTTACTATAAATATTGAAAACATCATCGTGGTTATCATTATTACCACTAACTTCCAACAGTTCAACATGTTCAAGTTTGTAAGTTTAAATCTGTTACCATATGAACATTTTAATAAAACAATACATTTTTTTATTTCAGTTGCTTTTCTTGGCTCTCGTCGCTTTTGCTTTAGCTGTCCCTAAAGCCCGCCCTCAGTACTTGGGCGCTGGTCTTTATGGAGGTTATTCATCTTTGGGATATTCGTCTTTGGGATATGCTCCATATGGTAGTTACGGTTTAGGATATGGATATGGATACATTTAAATTTGTACTTATGATAGACTTTTACAACAATAAAATTTATTAAACAAAGAATTTGTCTCTTTTTGGGGTAAACTGAAGACTTTGCCACACGAAAATATATATATATATATATATATATATTGGTTTTTATTCGAATGGTAACTTTATTTTCTTTTCAGCAAAACATAATTTGTTTGGTAAATTGCCATTTATAATAGATATTTATTTTATTAGGAGTTTAAGTGATACTTTATGTGACTGAGTATGGACGATTAAACGCCGAGCGATAGCGAGGCGAATTAAGTCCATACGAGTCACATAAAGTCAATTAAACTCCGAATGAAATACAATATTTTATTTTCAAACGATTAATCTTCTTTTGAAATGATTATTTCCTACCTTCTTGCTTCATTAAGGAATTGCCTTGATTTCACTTATCATGGTTACTATGGTTGACAACCACTATGATTTTCATATATTTATACTCCGGCGGAGTATAAAAGTTTTATTTATACGCCGGCGGAGTATAAGTAGTACTCATGTGCCGCTCAAACACGGTGTCATAGAAATGACACTTAAACCCCGGTAAGAACGTCATATAAGTGTCAGTTATATGACGTTTGAAAATAAAAGTATTTTTATATGAAATACTTATTTACATTTAGTTTTTCTTGGCATAATATTTTTACTGTAATTAACTGTAAAAATATCAAGATTTGTAACTTTCCTAGAACATATTCGTATGTACGTTTATTTATTGTCGGATTATTTCATTTGTTGTAATTACGAGTTTATTTTTGGGACTTCTAACATAATTTTACACTGTTTAAACTGTATAAAATAAAGTACATACTCTGATGAGGAATTCAAACACCAAAAACCCTTTTTTAAAAGAGAGCTGTCCATCAGGGGTTTTAAAATACTCCTTCTAAAGTTTAAAGTTATGCGCTTTGGTTCGATTGGGGTTAAAGCTCACCCTTAATTCCTTACGGTCATTAAAAGATGCGAAAATAACGTAAAACACTTTTCCAATATCATCCTTACAGTAGCACTTGAAAACTAATATGAGATATATTTTTTGTTTATAAAACTTTTTAAAACAAATCTATAACAGTATAGACAAAACTATTTCCTACCCGAGAGTAAGAAATCTTTATTTTTGCAGCCAACTCAACGTCCTCTTTGGTCAGTTATGCTTTTAATTTATTAGGGTGAAGTTCACCATTGAGGGATGGATTTTAAAGCAATTACCGAGGAAGTATGCAAATGAGGTGGCCCTTGTTATCGATACAAAGTGTTTTCCTTTGGAATAATCATAGTACATAACGAGCATGGAAAGTTAGTGATATCGTACGAGTGAGAATTTTGACGCACGAAATCTTACGAGCAAATGATGCACACTTTCCAGCGAGTTTTGTATATTATTTTTCCTACGACACTGAGAAGAGTCACTTATTGCAACAATATTTATTTTTTAAAATCAATAAAATTAATGGTCAGATTATTAATTTGACAGTTATTGAAAGTGGGGTTGCTTAAAGCATTGGAGTTGAGAGTCTGTATCAGTGTCTGATGTTGATATTGAATGTTAGAATGTGAAGGCGAGGAATTGATTATTTCCAGGTCTATTCTAATGTTTGATAATGCTGAATCAGTAACCGCATTTAATATTTCGGCGGTAGCAGTAGCGGTTTTCATCCACCATTCCGTGGAGTATAGTGATGTCGATGTCTCCACATGCGTGGTCAACAAGAATGGCAGTTGGCTGCAAGCACATCAGTGTAACAATATTCTGAACAACCGCCACATTTTTGATTTCGTGTTTTCTAATTTTAATGCCTCAGCAGACAAGTCGGACAGTTCTTTATTTACTGAAGACTTGCAACATCTAGCTATTTTTTCAGTTTTAATGCTCGTTTTTCCAATTTCCTACTAAATAATCTTACCAGTAGCTATAATTTCCAAAGAGCTAATCATACTCTATTATATGATGTTTTAGTAAATACTGACTGGACTTTTTTAGCATCATTTGATGTAGAAGAGGAGGCATGCACACAATTATATAAAAAAAAATCCTCGCCCCTGAAGTACTAGGGAATAAATACAGATTCCTCGAAAAATGATAAAATTAAAGTTTACGAATATGTGTGAATTGTTAATGTACAGGCAAAGAAGCAAGTTATGCGTTTGTTTTAAGTGCGTTATTCCATAACAAAATTTTATGATGACGTGACACTTAATCAAGGACACATCAATTTTATCAATTTGAGTAGATGCAGTGTAATATATTGATACAGCCAGTGCTGTACATACATTTTCAGCAAAACGGGGTACACCATTCTTGATTTGTGCCCACGCTACTCAATACGGAAGAACACATCTTTTTACGCAAATTGTGAGTTATAAAGTAATAATATGTACCTTATTGTGAAGACATTCCAGGATCGATTGTCTACAATTTCATTGGGTAACGAATTTTTGTGTTGAAAAACCCTACTAAATGGTGAATAGGAGATAACCAATTGGTCAGTGCTTGGAAGGTAATTATTAGGCCAACTCTTATGCGTTTTTGAGCCAAACTGGGTAAGTTCAGCTGTAAGAGTCTTTCGGGATAATGAGGATTCCAAACGGTATTAGCAAATTCAAGAATAGAATAGGCCTAACAATAGTCTTATACAATTTAATATTTAACCTCGAGAGGAGTGTTTTGCAAAAAACCTTATACAAAAGATACAACACAAAAGATCAGAACTGATGAAAACACCCAAATCTCAACAACAATCCTTTTTGACCAGTGGCGTGCCACCGATGCTATACGAAAACTTAGGATTGTAGTTTCTGATGTATAAAACTCTACATTTTTGGTATTGAGAGGCAGCAGCCAGTCCTGTAATCATTTGAAAATTGTGTTAAGATCTTGTGTCAGAAATTATTATTTGTGTTAGCATTATATAGCTTGATATCATCGACAAAAGAGGATGTCAGAGTCTCTTTAAATCGGCTGTATAGGCTAGAAAAAATAGTGGTCCTAACACCGAACCCCGGGGCATTCAGTACTTATAGGGACCCTTTATTCGGCAAAATTTTAAGAAAATGTTTACAATGCTTACGAGGGCTTTACAACGCTTGCCAAGTTTTCAGAGCATTCGGTTTTACAATTTCAGTATTACATAGTAAAATATTGTTACACAATGTTTAGGGTAAAAACTCAACACGGATTCACAATACACAAGTGCGGGACTATAAGTATCTTATTCGATAAAATTTAAATAATATTTACTATTGCAAATTTTAGAGATGGCATCACCAATCAAATTTTGGTTTGCGTTTTAATATGTAGGTACACGATATTCTTAACATGCATATAAAATTTAAGAACAATCGGTGTACCTAGTAATTTCAGAGATTATCATTCTACTAAAAATCCACACAGACGACAGACGCACTGAACCAGGAGACCTAATTTCTAAACCTAAATCTACATCTAAAACTGCTTTAAGTCAGTCTTCAGATAGTCAGTATTTTTTAGAGATAACCCACACGATATAGCATAGTCATATCTACCAAGAAATGATGGCACTTTTGAATTTTCTTAGAAAGACTAAAAGTAAGTTATATATTTTTTTTTTACTGGAAAATAATAATAATAATAATAATTTATATTATCATTGCTCGGAGAAAAAACTAAAGTGCACGTTCACGTCTGCATGTGAAAAAAAAAATGCGTGAAGTGCGTATATATAGCAAACACGCGACTGTCATTTCCAAATAACAAAACGATGTGGTCCACGTCAGTTTTATTTTGGCAATGATCCTATTACTAATGCATCATTGAAAAATTTAGAAAATGTAATTTGCTAAAAAAATCATACTGTCTAAATACGTGGTATAATTTTTAGCTTTACTCTGATTCTCTTACTGGATTCTTCTAGACCTTATTGTAAGTCTAACGTATAAATTGTCGAATTTCTGATACATTTATTTAAGGTGTGGTTCATCTTGATGATATGATTTACTTATTCTAGATTTCTCTACGGTTTCCATTCTTTAATGCTAGTTTCCCGGAAAATAAAATGGTAGACACTTTGTCCTCCTTCTGGGCTAATTTTGCCGCTACGGGGTAAGCTCGAATCTCTTAAATTTAACTGCATTCAAAATTTCTTACGGTTAATAATAATTTTTATAAATAGTGATCCTAATAATCGTAATAAAAACACTGAAGCATCTGAATGGATAGGCACCGTATAACATAACCACCAAAGGATACTTGGAAATTGGAGAAACTCTAAAAATGAAAGAAAAACTGTATGAAGAAAGATACTCACTTTGGAGAAATGTATCTTCACTTTTTTCGTAGTTGAAAATTTTAATTATTCTCGCCAGTTTGATTATAACGAAGATAAATTTCAAAAATAAATTGTGCAAAGTGTATGGTGAATATTTTCATTTTCTACTTAAAACTAAATTTAGACATACACAAAAAATATAACAAAGGATTCGATTTAATCCTGGAAGCAGAAGTGGCGATGGGCACTTCAGAATAAACCCGATCGCGAAATATCTAGAAAGAAGCGCACTGCTTAAATCGGGACCACCGCCGGGAATGACCAGTTGAGCCCAGTCAATGAGAGAATTTGTGTCTACTCAAATCCATTCTAGTCGAGTCGGAATTATTCTGTGCATAAGTGCTGCATAGTTATTCGTGTAGTTTTGTAACACTGTGAAATCAATTGTTGAAAAACGTAACATTATTTACATGAAGGCGAAAAACTTTAGTACATTTTAAGCAATAAATAATTGTTGTTGACGAAATCGACGGCTTCACACTATGATAATTCAAGCACGGCCAATGCCTTGCTGTGCTAGATGAACCCAAAACTTTTGCATGTAACCGTATGTGTAATATGCACAACTATTTGTATGCGACAAAAGAAGGAATGGCTGCTGAATTATTTTAAACCCATTTTTATATCAACACTAACTTTTCATCCACGAGTTTCTCCCGCGTGGACAATGTGTTGTGTTGAACTGCATTATTACCAAGTTTCAATTAAAAAATGTGATGAAGAGCA